AGAATTGGACACAAGAGATTTGGGCCTTGGTGGAAATCAAGCAACAAGAATATTTGGTGCGATGTGAGATGACAAGTAGGTAGCAGATAACAATTTATGCAAAGCAATATTGGCATATCATTGCCCAAGAAATGCAGGCTCAAGGATATGATTGTGATTGGGAACAATGCAGGAAGAAGTGGGAGAACATTTTGAGTGATTACAAGGCTATTTTTGATTATGAATGCAAGACTAAAGTAGCTCTTTATTCTTTGTTGACACAAGCTGAAATTCAGGAGTTCAACCTCCCAAATATGGATTTGGATCTTTACGAGCTTGTGGGTAATTTTCAGTAGCAGAGACAAAACATTAGGCTAGAGTTCAGCTCTGATTTTGATGCTCTAGCACCTCCAGCTCCTGATTCTACAACAACTGCCATGGGTATAGATGCAAATTCCGATTCAGATGCAGATGGGCATAGAACTCTAGGTAGCATAGGCAAGAAGAAGAAGAATGCAACAACTTCAATGGTGCAAGCAATGACTGAGAATTTGAAGTTGCAACAGATGCAAATTGACATGAAGGATAGACAATTCAACGAGATGTTGATTGTGCAACATGATGTATACTTAACCATGAAAGAGGAGTTGCAAATGAAGAAGGAAGATAACAAGCAAATGCAACAGTGCAAGAGGCAAGAGTTTAATCGTTGTTGTGAGTTGAAGTAGGGGTAGACATATGCGATTGACCATTTCACGACAATAATAGGCTAAATTGCACAACAAATCATGAAGTTGTAGTAGATTTGCATTTTTCATGTGGCATTTATTTGCATTACTTTATTTTGATTTTTTGTAAAATGATATTTAATTTATGATATGAATATGCAGGTTGCTCTTAATCAACAAAAAATTCAACTACTTTGCTAGCTTTTAGTGTTTGCATTTGACTTCTTCATTCAATTCATACTTATGAATATGGATTCAGATTCAGAGGAATCTTCTTCTAGCTCCAATGAAAATGTGCATGAAATGGAAAATGAAGATGAAGAAGATGAAGACAATGATGATAGTGAACTCAGGTGGCAAATTGAAATGTTAGGAGATGTTAAATTTTAAGGAGAACAAGCATGGTGGGTAATGCTACATAGTGTGGCATGGTGGGACATATTCATGATGGTGTATTATAATGATTTTCGATGGACAAAGATTCTTTGGATGACATGACAAACCTTCAGCACGAGATCGTGATGATTACACTAATAGGAAACAATGATTTAGCATAATTATCCAAGCGATTGTGGATGCATGGAAGCAGTTCCTTAATGCAAATGTCGGTTGGCTAGGTACTTTTTCAATTTTAAAATTATTAATTATTAATTTTATTAAATAATTATTATAATTTTTATTAATTTTTATTTTTATTTTTTTAGGAAGTGTACACAATATGTGAGTTTGGAAAAATAGCTCAATTCGACACAAAATTAAAGATAGAATTTATCTTCAAGCTCTTATTCATGTTATACACACGGATAATGTAAGACTGTACTTGGTCAGTGACTAAGGTTATCAACTACAAACACATGTTATGATTCTTTTTTTAGGTAAGTTATTTATTTTATTATAATTTACTATTATATTTAACTAATAAATATTTTAATTGGTAGGGACACATTTATCACGTGCTCAAAAAGCCTTCAATAAAAAGCTCGATTATGTGTGCATTGTTGTGGAACAAACATTTGGTTTACTCAAGCAAAAGTTTGTTTGTCTTGATAGCAAATTAAAGGTGAGATTGCCACAAATCCCAAATATTGTTAATGCTTGCATCATTCTTCATAACATTCTTATTGATATGGGTGAGGTGAATTATAAAGCAATTTTAAAAGCATGACAAAGAAGGCTAGAGTGATGTCATCGACAAGGAACATTCGTTGAATATAATGATCCTCCTAGAGATGCAAGAGAACTTAGAGAAACAATATTAGATGCTCAAACAATTCGCGATGCGTTAGTAGCTTATGTTGTATTTGGTACATATGTGTGAAATTTAAATATTTAAAATATTTAAGTGATTTTCTATGCAGATAAGTTACCCTTTATTTTTAAGGGGTAAAATGTTAGTGTGGAATACATACCCTTAGCATAACCCACAAATGTAAAAGTTAGGGGTGGTGTGGAAGTATTACCCCTTACATAAATTTTTAAAGGGTATTGGTGTGGAAAAAAATATAATCTCTTTACTAAGGGTTATAGTTGGTGTGGAATGGGCTCTAGTCCCTTAATATTGCTAAATGATTGCATACCATGTTTATTGTTATCATGCCCCATGTGTTAGTCCTATTTGGTCTCAATTATTATTTATGAAAAGTGTCTAAATTTGCTAATTTGGTATGTCTACGGAATGTAGAGATTGTCCTGAACACAATGGTGTTGGTCCTGTGTCCAAATTCACAATTTAGTGTCATTCCATATTTAGTAAGCTTTGAGTTAATCCTCTTGGTACTAAGAATGGCTAAGGGTGAAAGCCCAAAGCATGCGTTACTCAAGAAAGGGGGGTTCCAAATGTATAGTAAAAATAGTAGGTAGGTTAGGCATGGACGACTAACTTGAGGTATAATTTAATTCTTGCTTGCATGCCTATCCTTGTTTTGCATTTAGATTATGTCTAAGCCCAAATTCCACACAATCCTTATTCTTGCATTACGCCATTGGTATATTAAAAAAATGTTAAATTCCATCTGGCTCCATTTTGCATGTTAATCCTAGCATTCGTGCTCTAGTTCCTTCGCTCCTTGGTTGCAAGTTTAGGAATTTAGCTTCATACTTTCATTCAGTGGCCTAAAATTTTGAAACTTAGATTCCACTCTCTTGTTATTAGACATGTGGCATGTGGCACATGGCATGAGATATATGGCACATAAAAAGTTTATATTCCCCTTCATGGTTATCCTATGGTAAATCATCATAAGGTAAAGGATGAAAACCATATGTGCTACACATGCTTTGAATTACTCATCTTTCCATCCATTTCCCTCCATTATCACATCTTCTTTCACTTTCTATCATTGGGCAATATGTATTTTGTGGAGATTTGAGAAATTTGAAAGTTATGATCTAAATTAAAGTCTTTACTTTGGGTTTTGATTTTTTCTATCTTTCTCTTGCTTTATTTTTTTTAATTGTATTCTCTCACCTTTTCCTATGTTTTTTGTCCCTTTCTCATTCTTTTTTTTGCTAGATGACGAGTCTAATTTGGCTATAAAGTTTCTCACTAGGTTTTTCCCTTTATCTTCAAATTTTATCTTCTTTATTTTTATATTTTCTCTCTCTAGGTTTTATTGTATCTTGGAGTATAAAGATTCTCTAAATATTCTCTCTAGGGAATATTCCTAGAGTGTGAGGGAGGATATTCTATATAGGGGTATATACCTTTCTTCTCCTACAAATTAAAGGTATAAGGAGGAGGATGAGTGAGTAATTAATAATATATCTTTGAGCTGAGGAGTTTCTTGCCATGTTTTGAGTGTGTTTGAGAGTGAGAGGTGTGCTAGTGTCACAAGGACATCCAACTAAAACTTCCAAAATGCAATTTGTTTACTTTTAGCCAAGCACAATATAATATGCCATCAAAGACGATATTCAAATGCCCCCTTACAACATTTTGACTGCTATGGTATCCAATATTGGAGCATTTATCTAAGGATCAAGACAATTGAGCAGCCCTAACCACTCTCTAGATGCAGTAAAATATGGTTTTACATCCTACAAGCCTTAATATTAATCTCCCAATGCAACATGATCATCAATTTGCAATAGGGCAAACCACTAACAATCTAGCCTTTACAACATTATGTTGCATATGACCCAGCAACAGTGGAGTGTTTATTAGTAGCAAACACATTCTATTATAAAGAAGGAAGAATGGATAAAAGATGGGTGTTGCAATTGGAATCATATGCATTTTCCTTACATTATACTATTCTTTTATAGGTACTATGTTAAATATCAAGCCCCCATCATGCTAATGGACATAGCTAAAGCACAATTAGTGGACAAGGATGTTCTTATTGAAGGTAACTTTCATTCTTGTAGTATAGACTATGATGGTCTCAAACAATGATGATATTTTTGGGCTGTAAGATGGTTTTGGGCTAATTTTTTCTAAAGTCTTAAAATTAAACTTCTCAAGAAGTTGTACTACTCAAATTTAAAGATAATTAATCCCAAATATCCTAAGATCCTTAACCATTTAGAAAAAAGGATTTTTAGCCCTTTCCTTCTATATTTGAACCTTAATAATATGTTTTTTAAATAATTTTTATTTCTTACACCCTTTTATATAACTATGTGAAATTCAGGTGTACTCTAGGTTGGAGCCATAGATTCCTTCAATTGCAGTATCATTAAATACTAAGTTAGGGCCGTGTAATATTATTAATTTTTCTACACTATATAGACAAGGATCTCATCCTATACTCACTTATCTTCTTTGAATTTCTTCAAATCAATTACTCACAAGCTATAGTATTATAAAGATTCTTAAGATTCTAGAAATGCCCAATGTTAAAGAGTTGGATATGTTAGATGAACATATATAACCTTCTAAAGAGTTTTATGCCACATCTAAGAAGGAATTAAGCCTTTAGAGTAAAAACCAATAATATCTAAGATTTCTTGTTGGTTTGCATAGCTTTGTCAAAGTCTTTTATGCACTTATTATATATTTTCTAAGCTCAAAAATTAATTCCCTAATTGAAACTAAAATAGTATATATATATATATATATATATATATATATATATATATATATATAGACACAAACACACACACCACTACATATAAACAAAGAAATTATTAAAAATAATACTTATAAATTTAATGATTTGTATTGAATTAAAGGTACAAAGTGAAGAACTGATCTCAGTTAATTATTTATTCTTAGTCATTTATTTATAATTATTTATTTAAAATTTTCTTTAAAACCCATCTCCACCATTACCTTTAAATAATCCATTTTTCTTATATTAGACCTCCACCACCTTCTCCACTTCCTGGACCTCCAAGACCTCCACCACCTTCTCCACTTCCTGGACCTCCAAGACCTCCACCACCTTCTCCACTTCCTGGACCTCCAAGACTTCCACCACCTACTTCACCACCTCTTGGATTTCCACCACCACCACCACCATCACTACCACCACATAAATTTGTATCCATATCAGGGTCATCTTTACAAATACTATCAAAACAAGCAATATCTCCTTTACAATCATCATGGCTTGAACAAGATTCGCCACATGTTTTCAGTCTTGCATCTATAACAAAAAATAAACTTATCATCGCAAAGAGCAAAGCATAATTATAAGCCCTCATATTGAATTAGGAGGTTGATTTCATTACTAATCAAACAACCTTCTTTTATACTACAAAAATAATTAATAATTTCTCAATTATCTTGTCTTTTTCTTTATTACTTTGAAATATATTTATATTTAAATAAAGTTTTATAATTTTATCAATAAATTATATAAACTATTGCAAACAAAATGTGTTTTTTTTTAAATTAAATATAAAAAGTTATAAAAATATTTATGTGAAGATGATAACTAAAGGTAAAGACATGTTTTGAGAAAATAATAAAGAGAAAGACAAAGTAATTATATAGTTTAAATAATTTTTGTTTTATTAGCAACCAACTACTCTCTTAATTTGAAATGGGCTTATAATTATTTTTCTCTTTGCATAATAAGCTTATTTTTAGTTGTAGAAGAAAACTTCCAATGCATTTGAAATGGGCTTATAATTTTTTTTCTCTTTGCATAATATAGTTGTAGAAGAATAACTTCCTAGTCTTTTTTTGGAACATTTTCCCTTGCCTATGATCTTTTTTGTTTGTAAGCTGCTTGTAGTAGTTGTTCTTTCTCCAAGTCTTGCAAGCAGTGGCCAAGTTGATTGCAAGAGAGATATTAAAAAAAATCACAAGAAGACAAAACATTGATTTTGTTGCATTGATGGGCACACATTGGATGGTTCAAATTCTAGATTGTTACATTACTTGGGATGGTCAAAAATTTATATAGTGAATTTTAAGGTAAAGTGTTGGATTATTTAAATCTAACAGTTGAAACTTTACACAGCTGTGCTCATGTGTGAGGCATGAATTCAAACTAATCCTCTTAAATTAAGTTCAATAAAAACTATTATACTTAATGTGTATTCTAACAATGCATATCCTAAATGCTGAATTGGTATGGTGTGCAATTTGTAAGGCACACAACACTTGACGGTGTGATATGCCACCATTGCCAATTGGCACTATCTGATTAGTTCTTTGGTATATGAGTTTCTTATATACATGGATGATGCTTTGATGGGTATCTGTAATGGAAACCATGAGTCATAGAATGTATGCATGGATACCATATACATTCATAGCATTCATCAGTCATGAGTTCTTCCAAGCTTATGTGTTCCAAACCTAAAGGTAGGGATTGGTCTTTGGTTAGGGTCCAGATGCAAGGCATGTTGACTGCAGTGGCATATTTGGATGTGAAGATTTTTGCTACACAATTTTATGCCCTTTAGTTTATATATTATCCTCCCATTTGTAGTTTGGTTCAATCCATAAATAAGAATAAGGCTGTTGACAAGTATAGGAGATTCAGAATGAGTAAGCTTATATATAGTTAAATTGAATCTCTAACCTATGTGAGATGCAAGATGAGGACACTTTATCCCTCTTCATCTTTGCTTCTAACACTGCCTTCAATGTTGAAAAAGTGATGTTCTCTCGTAAGAAGAAATTTCCCACTTTTGCTCGTCTCACTAATTTTTTAAAATTTACATACATTTGAGACCTCTTTATCTATAAGAGGATTTTGCTAGTCTAGATGCATGTACCACCTGGTTACATGTCAAGATTTCTTGAGATAAAAACTACAAGGTACCTAACAAATTATCTCAAAATTACAAGGCCAATGTTATAGAATCCCAAATTAGAGGGGAATATAAAACAGATTACCAGTAGAGGAGGTTTTGAGTCAGGTATGGACTAATGTAACTATGAATTATACCGGCATAAAGTGGAGTGCTATCAACTTCCAATCTAGTTGTCAAATAGTAGGTTATAGATTCAACTACTAACAAGTTTGTGAAACATTGGGAATGCATGATTTGGCTTGGCTATAGCAAAGGCATCTATTTAGAATTCCAAGATAGATTGACACAAATGTGAATCCTTATGTGCTGTGCCATATAGACTATGAGTAAATTTCCTTGTAGTAATTTGTGATTTACATACTCATTGTGCCAGCATATTACAAGCTTGTATCTTATAGATTCTACATTCATGCTTTGATATGTGGAGCAACTCATTACATAACTACTTGCAAGCTCAAAAAAAATAGATGCAATTTTCAACACATATATGCAGTTTGTATGTAGATTTGGCCAGCCCAAATGAATTAGGAGTGATAATGCTCATAAACGTAATGCAGTAGAGAATGATATGGTATGTTATTGGGGTCCTCAAGTCAAGTGTTTTATTCACGGGACTTTGACAAAAACCTAGATCTACCTTCAATATTCTTTTTCACAACTTCAATACTTTTCAGCAAGACTCCTAGACATTAGAGATTCCTTTGGCACTCTTCTATATGGGATGCTAGAGAGAGTGCATTCATTAGCTTTGAGCTTTCCACTCATGTAACTTTTAAAGGCAACACCACTTTGTGTGACCCCAAACTTCTAAAGGCAATCTAGGATGACCCTAGCTTGTCATCAGTGCCCTCCTCTATCATTCAAGATTACTTAGGTACAATATGGCTTTTGGGGTAGCAATGCACATTTTAGGCTTCACTTTGACATCCATAACGACTTGGCTCAGCCAATTCTAGCATGGCATGTGTTGGAGTTTCTAGCCTTCTTAGGCTTGGAAAGACATCATCATGCAAGGCCTTACTCCACCACCATCTACACTTGTAGTGACTTCTTTTTCATTCTCTTTGTTTTTTTATTTTCTCCAGCTTTTTCTTTTCTTTGTTCTTTCACTTTGTTTTTTTTATTGTCCTAGATTCATCATAAAGTAGATTTGTGCTTGGTCATAATTTCTCTATGTGGCATTAATCTTGATTGTTTGGAAGCTCAAGTTTTTCTAAGTTTTACTATTGATATTCAACTTTGTCTTTACATCACTTCCATCACATTTTCCCTCCCATTTCTCTACACTTTTCATAGTCATTATTTGCATTTCTATTCATTATCTACACCATTGCCCGTTCTTTCCACATTAACTCTTTCATCTTTCCAATACCATGGTTTAGTTTAGCATTCTTCAGTGTTTTACAAGCATAGAGTATTCACATAGATAGCCTTCATCATTTAGCAAAGTTTCCATAGGAGATACACAATCAACTCCAACTTATAGTAGTAACCTTCTTGAACACTACAATGTAAAAGTGGAAGCAAAAGCTTTTAGTGGCTGGTTAAGCCTTATGCACAAACATCCAGGTATGTTCCACAGTATAGTTATTTTCCCTCCCATTTCTATTAATTTCTAGTAACTTCTTCAGGTAAAGGTTTTTAGTTTGCAACATTCCAATATATCATTGTAGAGAGTTCTAATTTTGGCAAGATTCAATTGGTTGTTTTGGAAAGTTCTTCATTATAGATTGTGCCTGACATCCTTCTTGACCAATCATTGGTATTTCCATACCTTGAGGCACTCATTTTTCCACCCATTTCCCTCCATTATCACACTTTTTTGCACTTTTCATCATTGAGCAACACAATTCCTTACCATGGCAAAGCTTTAGGAGACTTGTGGTATTTCTTGGAGGTTTAAGAAATTTAGAGGCTGTGATCCAAGTTAAAATCTCTACTTGCAAGCATAGTGCAATATACCATCTAAAACCATATTCAAAAACCCTATTATAACATTCCAACTGCCATTATGTCCAAGGATCACTAATTAAATAACCTCATGTTTAATATTATTAAATAATCCAATTGATCAATAATTATAAACATGTTTATAAGTTAAAATCAAGATTAATATTATTGTATATCAACCATTAAATAGTAGAAAAAATAAAATATACTAGGAAGTGTTTAAGAAAGTTTATAAACTATAAATAAAATATAAAAAACTTAATTTGAATGTGCTTAAAATACTCAAGCATATTCTAGATATATCCAGTAGTACCCTAGTCCCTTACTAGTCTAGTTATTAAAGACTAGTCCAAAAATTCATTTTGCAACCTTTTCAATGGGTTGAAGTATGGTTTGTTAATTGAGAGTTTAGTTGGTTATGTGGGGGGGGGAGCTAAGTGTATTCCATTTTACTTTAGTCACTTGACCACATTTTTAACCATTTAGAAAAGTTTTAATTACAACCTTTATAAATCTTTATCCCAACTTAGAGTATTTGCTGAGACCCCAAAAGTGGCTTTCAAGCTACATTACCTTCACATTTGGTCTAAGTGCTTTATGTGTCTGAGTCCCACTATAAGCATTTAAAAGCACCACTAACATCTTAGCCCATTATGTTAAGGATATGTTCATCCACACTTGTCTCATTAGTAGTCTAAGGCAATTAACACCACATTTTCATCTTTTGAAGACTAAGCCATCTATTCATAAATGGTCATTCTATAACCATATTTTAACATCCTTAGGATGCCTCAAAATATAAGGAACACCATCCCCTAATATCCTTTTTTCAATCCTTATAAATTCCCTTTCCATCTATAAAAGTGCTCACTAATACCACCACTTAGTTAAAGCCTAAAGGCCCTTCCACTAAATCCCACTAATCTTTAGGACTTCTTCACCATGTAACCATCCCTACCATTTATATTCCTTTTTATAGTTTAGGGCTTCCCTAGCCTAAAGTAAGCCTTATGAATACTCCCTTCAGCTTTTGCCATTAAAGTGCCGTAGCCATATGGCTAGAACAAGGTCTTGATAAGCCATACAAGGTATTTAAATAAGCAATACCACCTACACTTAGATTGAGAATATTGATCATTCAATCTCCTTGGGGAGTTAAAGTCAACTCTTGAACACTTTACCAAGTCACTTCACTTTTCCATCCATGCTCACTCTAATTGTGGACTCTCTAGTGTTTGTATCATCACCCACCACGTGGGTATAACTTTCTCGGCCTCATTGACCTTCTTTGGCCATATTATTAGAGTTCTTTCCCGTTTTACCAAACCGTTTAAAGTCTAGGAAATGATAACTTTGGGCTTTCACTCTCAAATTCAAACTTGGACTTAAACTTGGTTTTGGTCTTGGTCTCGGTCTCAATCTTGGTCTTGGTCTCAGCACCAAACATAATTTCTCAGATAAAATATGATATCACAACACTTAGTAAAACCTAGGCTCACCTGCCAGAATTGCCAAGGTTTGCTCTCTTCTCAACTTGGGAGCCATTATAGATCTAGAGGCATTGCAGTCTATGCACAAAGAATGTCCCTCCCCTCTTTACAGCTTTTGGAAATAGATCCAGATCACCACTACATACCATTAAGGTTGTAGCTCCAAACCCATAAAGATGCTGTCATAATCTTCTATTACTTCCCTACCAGCTGAATTCATGAGCAGCTAGAGCCTTATACCTATAGATGCACTAGAATTACTAAAATGAAATGGTGATCCTTTGATGACCAAGCTTCTTGATTGCAGACATGATGCCAAGGTGGTGAACCTCAGGGATATGAATGCCTACACTAGGAGTTCAGAAGTTACACTTGGCGATGAAGAGGGAAACCCTAGCCCAACCATGGCAGGAAAAAAACTTATGGAGACATGCTTGACATATGACTTGATTATCCTCAATGGTACACTACCATGGCCACACATAGAGCAATATACATGTCAGGCCAATCAAGGGAATAGTACCATGGATTACACCCTCATAGACCACACCTTGGTACCTAAGGTGATGGATTTCCATCTCCAAACATGCCTGATCTAGAAATGGCAGATCATGCTCCATAGGGAGTATCCTTGAGGATACCATCTGTCATCACTGCTCCAAGAGAACTTTCAACCTCCATCACATATAAATTGATAGATGATTGCTATGAAGTGTATGCAAAATGGGTACAAGATCTCTGGAAGGCCTCAGCCCCTATCACACAGCAAGAAGAGTATACAAAACTCTTGGTTAGTGGCTTAATTCACTTTTCCATGGCACCTCCCATTAAACACCATCCTAATTCACTCTCTCTCTCTCTCTCTCTCTCTCTCTCTCTCTCCACCTGGCATTGATGTGGCATTAGGCCTTCTTTTTGTTTTTTCTCCAATGCACTCCCTCTCCCATCCATCGCTGCTATGCCCTCCTGCCCTTGGCTATCGCCCGACTGCAGCTCCCGCCCACCTGACCACACTCCTGCCCACCCACCGCCTGCCCACATGTCTGCCCACGCCCAACATGCACCCTAATTATTTCTGCATGGCCACAGACCCAACACTTAACCAAATTTCAATCATGCATGGATGCCTTTCTACATGGCCAATGCCAAACACTTTTGGTGTCATGGATGACCATGATCACTAGCTATGGTATTATGAAATCTTCTCACTAATTTAAAGATAAGCAATGCAAGTATGTAAAGAGTTTGTTTTTATATTTATTCTTTGCTAAGATTAAATTTTTTGTTTAAAGAGTTTTTCTTTCTTGTCTTCCTATACCTAGTTAAAGAAGTTGCTTTTGACTACTAAAAGCTTTTCTTTTACTTATAATTCTTTCCACCAAAGGTTTTTGCCTGTTTCAAGGATGTACCATAACTATCAATGTGCTGTTGAAATTCTGTTGAAAAAAAAAAAAAAAAGCTTCTTCATAGATACAAAAGTTTCTTCATCAGAAAGATTTTGTAAGATATCCATCATCTTTTGCTACAATATCATTTTTGTAACTTTTGATGGAGTGATATTTTCCTGCTCAATATCTAAAATTTGTTTAGTGTAAATTACCTCTATAGTAATCTTTAGCTGAATTTCTTGTTGATGTTGTATATTTCGATAGATATCTTTCTACTTAAAATTCATATATATTAGTATATAAAATATGCTAGTTTACCTCTATTGTTGTCCCTAACTGAATTTTTTGCTCATAATAAACATTTTGATAGATATTTTCCTGCTCAAATTTTTATAAGAATTTTAAAATTTTAATTAATAAGTAAATTACCTCTATCATAGCTTCCAAGTCAAGTGCTTTAAAATCTTTATAAAAATAAAATATAACTTTATATAAAAGAAAAATAAATAAATTATATCATATCAAATTAATTACCTTATAGCATTAATCTCTATTTCAACATCATCAATCATTATTGTATATGGTTTCCAATCTGACATATGAAGTTAAAACCCATGCAATTGGAATGCCATTTCCATGATAATCAAAAGCAAACATAGTGTATAATGGGAACTATAAATTATTAAATATTATTGACTTAAAAAAAATAAAAAATTTTACCTTGTAGTGATTAGTTCCAAAAGTTGCATCAAGATTCAAAAAAATATTATTTACAAATTCTACCATCTTTTGCAACTGCCAAGTTGTTTGAATCTCAATGGTAAAACAATCTTTACTTTGATCACCTTTTTTATAGAAAAATATTTTCTCAGGATTTATGTTCTTCCAAATACGTACACTTTATGCATCATTCTTATGTATTCGATAAGTTGAAAGTAAATACTTCCTATACAAATTATTGATATCCTACATAGTTAGAAAATCATCTCAACAAGGAAGTTCACTAGCTGATTTGTTCCTTCCTACAATCTATATATTCTCATTATAAATCTGATTGAAATCTTGTTGGATCATATGAATCACCCAATTTCAAATATCTACTGAAAGCTTTTAAGAAAATAATGATTTTCCTCCAATTGAATCAAGTTGACCATGAAAAAGAATCCCATTCTTATCAAAATGCTCTCTATAATAATATGTAATCTGCACATAATCAAGCTATTTGTAAATTTGTTTGACTAAAAAATTGCAAAGTCACCTTTGCTTATTAAAACTTTGACTTGGTCTACTTCCAGATCCTGACTTTGGTGTAGATTTAGCAAATGTTTCATAAGAATCTTGTTTTCTATATTCATACCAATACCTGTGTCAAAAAGTTAATAATTATAATTTGTTAAAAAAAATATACCTGATTAATGATAAAAAGTTTGTGTTTTTGGGTCATTTTAAATCTCTAGAATTATGATTTTTGTTGGAAAATCACTAAAAATCCACTCCATCATCCCTTCTCCTCTCACCATTAAAAACTTATTTACATCCTTGTATAATATATACACAATAAGAGTTATAGTTTCATTTGATTTAGACAAAATCCAATCTAAATCATCTGCACAAAAATAATCCTTTTCATGAAATTCTTTCACTTCATCAAGCTTAAATGATTTTCTTGAATCAATATGAAGTTGAATTGATTATTTACCTCTGAAAATTGATGTGCTACCACCATGCTTGATTGTGGAAGAAATAGAAGTCAATTATAAGGGCAACTAGGCATGAATTTGGCTGTGGAAATAATTAGGGTGCATGCTGGGTGTGGGCAGACGTGCATGTGGGCGAGTGCAGTGGTGATGGATGGGAGAGGGAGTGCACTGGAGAAAAAACAAAAAGAAGGCCTGATGCCACATCACTGCCAGATAAGTGGAGCGAGAGTGAATCAGAATGGTGTTTAACAGGAGGCTCCCACTACAGAGAGTTGGGGAACCTAAGATGGCATTGAGTGGAGTGCCATGGAAGCCTCCCATTAATGACATTCTAGGTTCCCCAACTCCCTGTGGTGGGATGAGAATGCCAAAAATGGCATGCATTAAAGAAGCAGAAAGCTAGACAAGAAACACCTGATGGCTGGGAGGGGCACCATATCTTCAAGAAACGAGCTTTTCTGGCTAAAAAGAATGCAAACAATGTACAACAGCTCCAATCAACACCAGCGACTGCCTATAAACTTTTCTGAAAGCCTACCAAGAAGATTTTAGTGATAGACATGGAGACTTGGGTACCTTTGCCAACTCTACAGTGGATGGAAGCAACCTTGATTTCACTATTGAAGAGCTGGCTTGAGCCATTGGGGATTTTCCACTACACATAAGCCTGGATGTTCATGGCCTAATGGCCAAGCTTCTCCAGGCATGTGATAGAGGCTTTTTTGCACAGGTTCTAGCAATTATCTTTAATGACATTCTTTGCAATGAATTTCTAAGACAATGGAAGAGTGGAGATACGAACTACCATACCATAATGGTCTCTTTGATCCTCCAAACTCTTTGCCCACATGGTGGAGAAACATCTCGTAAACTAGAGTGAGCAGCGAGAGAAACGTGCAATGGCCCAGGCAGGTTTCCAGCCACAATACACTTTTGTGGATCACTTAATCATTAATATGTTGCTTCATTGATTTCAAGAAAGCTTTCAATACAGATCGGCTGGAAGTACTCGAGAATCTAGGCTATTTCGGCTTTGTACAAAGTTATTCTCGCTGACATTGCTGGTCAAGAATCGAGCACCAGCACCACTGCACAAAGCAAGGATGCCCACTTTCCCCAACTCTCTTTGGTTTATATATCAACAAGATTGAGGCTCTCTTTCTTGATCACCATCTATCAGAGATCCAAATGGCAGGACCTGTAATTCTATCTACTTCTGTACGTAGACAACCTACTACTACTTGCCTCCACCCGCACCATACTTCAGAGATAACAAGAGGTCCTTGCCATGTTTTTCAATAACACAGACTTGGCTGTAAATTGGAGGCATACAAGTACCTTAGCTATGTAGTACATCAATGTAATCTCTGGTGTGCATGGGTAATTGACCATATCAACACAGCTTGCAAAGCATACCACACCCTCCAAAGTGATTTCTGTACCATGGGAATCTACTGTTGGGACACTGAACATCAATATTTCATGGCAAAAGTCACAACAGTCTTGATGTACAGTGGAGAAGTATGAGGACCTGGTCTGACCAAGGACCTTTGGAGGAAAGTTGAGAAGATTCATTGGACAACTGAATTCGGATGCCTGAAGGTATCTTGTGGGTTATGTCTATGGAATCTGGCATCCTACTCCAAGTTTGGAAGAATACTATGCAATATGTTCTACGTCGACTCACACACCTGGATGAAGACAACCTTGCAAAGTTTGCTGTTTTAGACTGGACAATCAACATCAACTTGGATGGTGGCACAACTGGACACAGTCACGGAGATGGAGCTTAGTGATCTCCTTCTGGAAAATATAGCTTATGTCCATACGCTATAAATGGAAAAAGCATTTAAGACATGGCTGCAAGGGGCTGATAGAGCTCAACACAGTTTTTACAGATACCACGTAAAAGTTGTCGACTGATCAGCCTCTTGGACGGAAACACAGGAAGTTGCAGCATATCGAACTAGAGGGCATCGATTGTATTCAGTAGTTGGGGAATGGTTTTGCCTTCCAATCCCATGGGAAGGACGACTCTGCCAGGAGGTGAAGACAGTGGTACTACACACAATTGTCTAGCTTTTACACACATTCGGCAACAATCACACCTCCCACAAGCTGGTGCAACAGCTCTCCTCAATCAAGGAAGTGGCTATATTTTTCTTTCTCTCCAAATTCTTTCCCTAAATACTTAAACTAGAATATTTAGAGGACTCTAAAGCCCAAAACACCCAAATGGAACCTCATACTATACTTAATAGTTATCCATATGGAAATGGCATTTTCAAGAATAAGATTTTCTGGCACTTGATCAAATTTATAGTAACTTGCATACTTCTCAAAATAAACGCAAAATTGGAACATGCTGCACATGCCCGTGCCACGCGTCTCGCGCGGATAGCTTCTCGCTGTAACAATCCGCCACGCGTCATTCTCCCATTCGCTCGAGGCCACGAGTACCACAAAAGCGCCAGAGCGCTACATGCCGAACACTTCTAGGTAAGCTCTCTTTGGTAGAGAGCTTCTCGGCGGCTAGGCTATGGTGGAGGAGCAAGGATGAGGAAGAGGAGGAGGAACTCTGAGAATTCCTTTGAGGATTCCAGCTCCAGTCGTACAGGTACCTTGCCCTCCCTAGTCCATCGGGCCGGATTGAGCTAGATCATCCAGGGATTCCAGGGTAGAATGGGTAGGGCGGGCAATGCCGGCGAGCAGCAGCCGCGAATCACACTGGGGAGCTACTTGGATATGTCACGGAGCTTGAATATGGATCCTTCCTGGAGCTCCAGGCAGCACAGCAATGCCAGGGGGCGATGGGACATGACCAAGAGCCTCAATGTGGAGTCTGGATTCTTCGCAAAGGCATCGTCGCGGCCTAGCCGCAAGGCCGCGAGGAATGGCAATGGAAGCAGTGGCAGTGGCAGCAGTGGCAGTGGCAGCAGAGTAGCGGCGGCCAAATCTTCGGAGGATTGCGTCGTGGTGGCCGCGAATTCTCCCATTATAGACCAGGAGCACAGGAGATCGAGCGCCGCGGCCAAAAGCCCCTTGTCCGCGACCGATGGTGGGATGTTTCCAAGCCGGGCAAGCTTCCACGCGGGACTCAATGGGAAGATGCTACCCACGAGTCCAAACATCCGGGACCCTTGCCAGGAGAAAGATCTCATCGATGCTTTCGTGGACCAGCTGAGAACCATCGCCGCGAGCTCCTCGAATAGCGAGCCCAACGCTACAACGCGGCGGGTGGTGAGGCGAGCGCTGGAGTTTTCCAGCAACTTGAACGCTCAAAGGATCACCACCACCGCCACCGCCACCACCGGCAGCGAGATCCACAGCAAGAACAAAGTGCCATCGTCCAGAGGCGTGGACGATCTTCGCGATGGTGGCGACGATCTTGGCAGGAGGATTTACCGCTCAAAGCTGAAGGGCAATGGCGGTGATCTCCGGAGGCAGCACTTTCTTCCCGTGGTTGTGGAGGAGAAACAAACGGTCATCTCCTCGCCGATATGCCACAGCAGCTCTTCGAGGATGAAGCTAAAGTCCGTGGACATGCCTCCGGCGATCCAGCAGCACGCCGTGGAGTGTGCGTTCCAGCTCCTCAAGAACATGGATTGCAAGCTCAACTGCAAGCTCATCGCCTGGCAACTTAAGAAGGTAAGTTTCGGTCCAAGTTGACGATCGAGTTCTTTACTTACGTGGTTTTCTTTGTAGGAGTTTGATAAGATCCATGGACCGGCCTGGCACTGCATCGTAGGGACGAGTTTTGGATCGTATGTAACGCACTCCGTCGGTGGATTCATCTACTTTGCGGTGGGAAAGGTGTCGATTCTTCTCTTTAGAACTGCCATCGAGGTGGTGGATAAAAAGTAGAGGCTGGCTCGCTCGAAATTCAAGCTGCCAGTTCTTCGTCTAGCGCAGTGGAAAATCACACTGCTCTTGTACAATGGGAATTCCAACTCTAAAAAACCATGACTTTTAAGAAACAAAAAGAACTGGCCTCGTACCTCCAACGTTTTAAAGCTTGGATTGAGGAGGCACGACATTGAGTTTCACCCGGTGCCATGAAGTGTTTAGCACTCCTCTCAAGTTCCATATGCTCGACACATCCTCTGGCTGGATGTTTGCGGCAGCATCAACCTGTCAATCACATAAAAACCGTGAGAGGTCTTGAACGAACTCGAGAAACTTACAGCTTTAGCCACGACTTCTAGCGGAGAGTTCGTGAGTTCCACCGTCAGCTCCCATAGGACCCACGCAAATCTCTTGCATTTCTCGGGATTGTCAGCAATGTACTCCTTGTCATCTTGAAATCGCTGAGCTTCCTGCCAAGTTTTGCCTCCGTCTACTGAGACATCAACGCGTTCTATTCCACGGCCTCCACCACTCACAGCGTAGCCTTGAATTTTCATCTAGAAAAGCAGAAACAAACAACTGAGCATCAAACACAAGTGTGCTTACCTTGCTGCCAGCTTTGACGAGATCTCCCTCTGCTGGAGAGCATATAGCACACTGGCAACCAAAAACCACGAGATTTTTAAGAAGAAATCCCAGCTTGACGACATACCTGAACAGGAAAGTCCATTAAAGGTCGGCGAGAGTTCCAGTTGATGTTGTCCCAATCTACGGTTGGTGGAAACATCTTGTAATCCTTTTGCATGAAAAATCCCTGGCGAGTTGAGAGATGTTAAAGTGTGTCGTGACTAATCAATTACATACAAAACCTGGCATTCTTCTTCAATAACTTTGATCTCAGTAAGCCATTTTACCGAGCGAGCGCCAATGACACCTGGAACAACAACCCGAAGAGGAAATCCATGGTCCCTATTTAGTTCCTGTGACAGATTTTCATAAACTAGGAAATTCGTTCTGCGCTTTTGATTTTACCTTCCCATTCATTTCATAAGCCAAAATAACTTCCGCTTCAGGGCTCATTGCTTGGGAGAGAGGGATGGACGCCTTGTAAGGTCCACCGTTTTCCTCCTGAAACAAAAAGTTGATGGTAGACTTAAAACGCAAACAACTAAGAAAGCTTTGTTTTGCTTTTCCCACCTTGCAAACGTCCACGCTTGAAAACTCGACATGCCTTTTCGAAGATTCCTGGCGAACTCCTGCGAGTTCCAACACGTCGTGCAATCTAGCACCTCCCCAAACAGCTGGACAAAAGTTTATGCCGTAAGAAAGAAGAAAACAATTCGTGCCCACCATTTCCCAAGGCTGAAATCGCCCAGCCAACACCTTTAACTTTTCTGACTTTGCTCATAGCCGTTCTCCGATTTCCTGCACACTGGAGAGCAAAACTCATCAAAAACTAAAAGTTTGAAGTTGGCTTTTATTACTTGTAGCGTAGCCGTCACCGTGTGCTTGGGCAAGTTCCTGCATTTACGTTGGTTATCACCCTTCGGACAATAGAAGAGAATTGAAAAGAATTTTCAAGTACCTCAAGTCCTGGAGGGACAAAGACAAGGGTCCAGGAACCAAGCCACCAATTTCCAAGCGATAGCTGCCAAAACAAGCAATTTAGAAGAAGAAAAAAAATTGCAAAGAGCTTCAGAGAAGAATCAATCAATCTCGATCAAAGAAATTTTTACTTGTTTGGATCATCGATGACAGGAATAGGACCGTGATTCCTTTTGTAGAAGAGATCCTCGGGAGTTACGAAGGATCGCACGAGAGCCTTCGGCGGTGTCTCGGCATTGAAAGGCTCCTGAGAAGGAAAATAATTTTGTAGAAGTGGTAGAAGCACAGCATTTTCCTTACCTTGGAATTTACAATGAGTGATGGATCGCGATGAGGCTCGTTCTCGTAAGATTTTGGCCCATACAGCACTCCCATCGCGCAAACCTGCAAATCCATGTCGAGTAGCACCGAAAGCTGGAATTCGAGCAAACCTTCGCGGCTTCCTGGCCGCCGCACGCCAAAGAGAAAGAGAGATCGACGAGAATTCGCGAGAGCGCTTCCTGGCCGCCGCGCACCAAAGAGAAAGAGAAGAACGAGCTACCCTAGGATTCCTCGAAGCCTCTCTTCTATCGCTATAGCCACCATTCACAGGAATGCCACTGAAAAGATTCGACCTCGCGACCACTTTAGGCCAGGCAGAGGATTTGAGCCCGAGACCTCTCTGGGATTTTGATGCTAGTGAAATATTTAGGGCTATGGAGGAGGAGGAAGAAGGCGCTCGATTCTTCCGTCTCAATCCTCTCGATCTCTGCGAGGAGCTCCAGCACGGCCAGCAGCATCGAATCCCTACCGGTGCTGCGCTCGCGGGTTCAAGAGCTCGAGTGGAATGGGATCAATCTGGAGCCTTACGCGTACGAGGAGCTGCTCCAGGCATGCGCGCGATTGAGTGCTCTCCACGAAGGTAGGCGAATCCATTCCCACATTGCCCGGTGTGGATTTGGCGATCGCGCGCTCTTCTTGCAGAACACTCTCCTCAACGTCTATGCAAAATGTGGGAGCGTCCGGGACGCGATCGAGCTCTTGGAATCCATGGAGCTCCGGAATGCGGTCTCGTGGAACGTGGTGATCGGCGGGTTTGCCAGGAGCGGGCACCGGCAAGAAGCGCTGGAAATTTTCTGGAAGATGATGCTGGAAGGAGTCAGGCCTGGCAGAATCACCTTCACGAACGCTCTCCTGGCCTGTGAAGGAGAGGAATTCCTGCCGCTGGGAAGGATCATCCACAGCTCCATCCAAGAGGCCGGGATCACAGATCAAGAAGAAGAAGAGAAAGCTGTGGAGCTGGGAAATGGGCTCATTGCCATGTATGGGAGATGCGGTGATCTAGCAGCCGCTACCCAGGTTTTCTATGGAGTGAGGCAGCGGACGATTGTTTCGTGGAACTCGATCATCGCAGCGTATGCCCAGTCCGGGCATAGCAAGGAGGCGTTCCAGTTTTTCAAAGAATTGGTAGCTGATGGGATCAAGCCGAGCTCAGTGACGTTCCTTGCCATCTTGCCGGCCTGTTCGAGCTCGCAGGAGGTGGACTTCTTCTCGGCATTGATCAGAGAGGCTGGACTGGAATCCGACGTGCTCGTCAGTACGTGCTTGATCACCACCTATGGGAAAGCTGGCTCTTTGGAGAATTCCAGGAGAGCTTTTGCTGTCTCGGACCGGAGCAACGTTGTGACTTGGAACGCGATGCTCACGGCGGTGTCGAGCGTTGGAAAGCTATTGGAAGAGCAGCGCAGTGTAGAGGTGGGATTCCTCGCGGAGGAAGAATCGCTCCGGTTGTTCCGAGAGATGCTGGGCGAAGGACTGAGGCCCGCGAGGGTGACGTTTCTGGCGGTTCTAAACTCTTCATCGCCGAGTCCCAGGAGCTGGGAATGGATTCACAGGCTGGCCTTTGAGAGCGGTGTTGCTGACGTAGAACCGGAAGTAGCAGCCGCGCTGGGCACCGCCTTCGTACGAGCTCACGGAAGAAGTAGATCGACCAAAAGTTGCGATCAAGATCAAGGTCTTCACCGACAGGAACTTGAGCTCTCGGACGACGTGCTTGCCTGGACAAGCGCCATGACAAGCTGCTCCCAGAAAGGCCTGGACAGAGACTCCCTCGCTATCTTTCGCCAAATGCAACTCCAAGGCGTCCATCCAACCAGCTTCACTCTCGCGGTGGCTCTGGAATCCTGTGCGAAGCTGGGCGACTACGAGCAAGGCAGCAGCATCCACTGCGTGATGGCCCTCCAGTGCAAATCCGACGAGTTCGTCGCCACCGCGCTCGTCAACTTATATTCGAGGTGTGGAGATCACGCCGCCGCTCGAGCAGTCTTCGACGGCTTCCAGGGATCGACGCTGGTCCTTGCCACCGCCCTCATCGCCGGCTACTCTCGGAATGGCGATGGCACCGCCGCGCTCCAGGCCTATCAGCTCATGCAGCTCCATGGCGACGCTCCGAATGACGTGACCTTCGTCACCATCCTCTCGGCTTGCAGCCACGCCGGCTTGCTGGACGAGGGGGTTGGATACTTCCAGGCCATGGCCGCGGAGCATTCGATCGAGGCGACGGCCCAGCACTATGGCTGCGTCGTGGATTTGCTCGCTCGGCTTGGGCATTTGGAGGAGGCCGAGGAGATTATCGAGGAGATGCCGTTCTTGCCGGGGAGCGTGGATTGGCTGACGCTGCTGGGCGGGAACAGGAATCACGGGGATTTGCGGCAGGGAGAGCGAGCGATAGACGAGCTCGAGCGTGGATTTCTGGATCGAGCGGGATCCAGTGGATCGAAATGGAGGCTCTAAGGGCGCTAAAGAGATACCAACATTATAAACAAACATTTGTTATTGTGAGTGCTATTAATTGGGGTTTAGATACATGTATGTATATATATGTATTGGTAATACATGTATGTACATACATGTATTTACAAACCTTGATTTAAAGCGATTACCTGAAAAAATATATTATTTAGAGTTTAAAATACTTATTCATTGTTATATTTTTTAAAGGCTATTGTAAACTCTTTACATATATCTTAAAACCTTTAACTGTTGCAAATAAAATTATGGGTATCCAAAATTTTCTGTTAACAAGTCCATTTTTCTTTAGACAGGGGATTGGTGAATTTACAATTCAGTTGCTGAAATAAAATTTCAAATCAGAAATGCCAAACTGATGACTCACTGCCCTTAAAGCCTTGCTTGGACACTCAATTCCTCTTGATGTAGCTTTGATTGGCCACCAAGATATCCAATATTGCGGGCAACTATACAACCATACAAAAGTGTCATTTTGTAAATTACATAGAAAGGCTCTTAGTAAGGGTTTTACTTGAAAAAGTCCTTTATTTGCAACCTAGGCTGCACTCCTCGGTGATCTGCAGTTGGTAATGTTAGCACTAAGTAGAATATGTAAAGCAAATGCTTGCATGTGTACAAATTTTGGCTGACAGAACGCTTGAAGGAATTGCAGTCGCAGGAGGGTAGCTCTGAAACAGTCACTTTGAAGACATTGCCACTAATGGAGAGAGAGAGAGAGAGAATTCTTTTCCAAGAGGATTCAGTTGTTTGCTGCTGACGATTTCCTCTCTCTGTTTTCTCACCCCTTCAAGAAGTTTAGAATGTTTTTGCGTAGACTTCCTGTGCCTGAAATGCTTGCCATCAAGCTCCCCTGTGCCAATATCCTCCACCTGTTCTATTTCGTGCCTTTTTCCGTGTTTCTCACATAGAACAGCATGCATGTTGAGAACCTGTAGAAGTAGTTGACTTCAGAATTGCATCATCAAACTTGTACCAAATTCTGTTTGCTTTAGCAACTGTGGTATAATGCCCTCCTCTTCCGTAATGTTCAACAACTGCACACAGGTTGTAAGATTCCTGCTCGTTAGATGCTAATCTGGAAAAGAAAAAATAAAGCCGTGTTAAGCAGAAACATCACAGCTTCAAGAAGTTTAGAATTAGCCTCAGACTTTCTGGGAAAATTCGCGGCAGTCGTCCTCTTGCTCATGTTTAGCAGGCCAGCCCTAAGCGCTTTGACTTCTCTGTCCTCCATTCTGCTTTTAAGCTCTGCATAAGGGAAATCGAATTAAATTACGCTAAAAGATGAGAAAGACAGACTTTTTAGCTTTAGTCCTGTCAGTCCTCGTTTCAAACCTTCATCTGGAAGCACGAAAACGCTCCAAGCATATTATAAGAAGCTGGATCAGGCATTTAGATTTTATAAACTTTTGGCTCCCACAAGTACACGCATGTAGCTGGACATTTTCATCCGCAAGATCGAAGTCAATACAGGTCTCCAAATCCAAACTTTGTGAATCTGCAGGACAATCGTTAAACAAACATTCACAACGAAGTCTAGACATAATAGTTACCCCCGCCATTAGGAATGTGGAGCAGCCAATGTGTTGTTTCTTCAAAGCTCAAGTTTGAAACGCCACAAGTCACGCATTTACAGACGTGTTTGAACTTCAGCTTTACTTCCTTGCAATCCATAACCTTCTCAAACTCGTTGAATAGTAATACTAAAAATTCCTGCACAAAAATGTCAGACTGAAACACAAAGTCCATATACTTACATGTGCGTCCTGGTCCTGCCCAAGAACTGCAAAATTCGGATCAAGAGCAGCAACCTGCTGGTGCATAGCTCGCGCATCACATGCTTCTCCATTGTTGATTTTCTTGTGAAGTTCAAACAACTCCTTGAACAACCCGAAGCTTTCTCCAAGAGTCCTCCAAAGTGTCTTGTGAGAACTTAATGCTTGAATTGTACTTGAAAGATCACACGTCCGTCTAATGTTGGGAATCCCAACCAGTTTGTGCTCGGACGCAGTAGTTATCGCCTGCTTAACCGAATCTTTAACTTCTACCTGCCCTGCCGCTGCTCTGATATTCTTCTCTTCAGTTGCCCCTCTCACAGCTTCTTTTTCTTCGAGAATCATCAGACTTCTTACGTTTTCCGCAACTGCTTCAGAAAATACGTGTTGAAGCTGACTCTCCTTGTCTTGAAGAATCATCAACTCATCGGGATGACAACAGTACCATCTATACTGTGAAGATTAAACTTTGTAGCAGAGAACATAAGGAAGTCTTGAACACCATAGCACAAACAGATAAACCTTACCAACTTCTCTACAACATTCAGAGTGCTCTGATAAGAAATATTTGCATCTGCACTAGATTCGTTCCCACAAACCAGAATTTTGTCGCCCTCAAAAGCTCCTTAACTTCAGCCTCCTTTTGAAGTAGAAGATCGATCACTTGTCCCAATACTTGATATCATCCGTCTCGAATGCATCAAGCCACCTGTTCCCTATCACAGTAGCCTCCCTCTGTGGAAATGTTCTTAAGAACCATTCAGTGGCTGATTTAGGCAACAAATCCCTTGCCTGGCACTTCACAAGTTCTGCTAAAGCTCTAACAATCTTACAGGCCCTTTCAAGATCTTGCTCCTTGTAATACGTCAATCCGAGTTAGGGTTCTACCAAATCAATGGGGTGTCTTTATCGACAGGTTGTAGCATCGAAGAGGCGGTGAAGGGGATGTTCCAAGCTGCCGGATTGGCTTGCCCAGTGTTGCCAACAGAGTGCCGAATCCACAAATTCGTTCTCTTTCTTCAGGAGAACAAGGTGGACGTGGACAAGCCGTGGAAGGAACAGGGCTTCTTCGACATTGACTTGATTCACCATAATGTTGTGCAAGACTACATGAATCTCCCTTCTGCGCTCACTGAGGTTGAGCTCCGGACGATGATAAGTTGCAGCAACGTTCCAAGTCAGTCTTGTGCTCTCAAAGTGCGTCTCGCAGAGAGACTCTTGGGAGACTGCCACATTGTGTGTACAAGACAGGTTTGGAACAGGTACAGGGAAGTTGGGCATCGCCTCGACACAACACAGTTCATCCAGGCAGAAAACCACTGCGAGAGACTTACGTGTTTGGCCATTCTAAAGTCCGCGAGCTTTACATTTCCATGCATGTGTGGTTAGGTGTGGTATGCGTCAGGATGGGGTTTGACCATAGGGAGAAGGCGTTCATGTCCAGCCAGAGGGCCTTGATACTTAAGCCGGACGAGAAGTAACTGTGGGACTTGGCTGCTTGTGTTGCAGTTCTAGCTAGTGATAGCCGTGAAGGTGAAATGCTCAGGCAAAAGGCATGCAAACTCCACTTGTATGAATTGGCTACAAGGTGATCTACCATAGTATGCAAAAAACACTAAACTTGTTTTTGAATGAAGTTTCTTAAACATGTTTGAAATTTTCTGATGAAAAGAAGTATAAAACAAATATTTCCTGTCAAGAATACATTTTTCCCACCAAAAGTTTTTCCCATCAAGAACAATCATCTCCTATTAAGAAATTCATCTATCTGGAAAATGTGTATTTATTATGGTATTCACACAATCTTATCCACGGATCACTGTTTGCATATGGTTTTGCATAATAAATGTTGCTTATTTATTCTAATAATAGACTATTCATTCTTTATGACTTGCCATAAATGCCACTTGGGAACTCCCTCACAGTGTCCCGTCGTCGCCATTCTTGTCCAGTGCTTTCTCCCAAGTAATCCAATTGTCTCCGGTATAGCTACTGTCATGATCTTATTCCTCTCTGCTGCGGTTTTTATTGCTCTCAAGTGATTCACAATTATTCATGATAGCTACTGCCAGCCACATGGTATATGCAAATGCGATTCGTGCATCTCTCTACACCAATGATCAATTGCAGTGTAGGGAGCTTCCGACACGACACTTGCTTGCCAAGATCGCCACAGCATGCCGCAGTAGATCCAGGGCACCCACTGCAGGGGCTGCAGCTTAACACGTCCTGGGTGCTCTCGCGCAAACTCCTTGAGCAACGCAGGGATCTGTGGAGTAGCATCGTTGCTAGTGTAGACACACTTCAGCTCCACATCTGTGTCACTGCTTCTCTTCACCAGCTCACGAAGGAACTCCAGTTCCGGACCTGTTCTTTCCCAGATGTGCTTGCTGTAGACAAACTCGACTCTAACTGTCAAGGGGCTCTTCCTGCTGTTCCAATTTGCAACGTTGAGTTGCTGCATTTCGTCACACACACCGTGAGGCACTGGAACAAGAAAGCAAAAGCTTCACCTTGATACTTATGAAAGAGACAATGAACTCCTCAAGCCCCTGGAACGGCTCCAGCAGGGCCACAAGATCAATAGAGCAGGGTGGAATGCCATCGTCAAAGATGCAGAAGTAGAACTTCTTCAGGCTCGACGTTCTACACAAAGCTGCCTTGTCCATTACTTGGGCGGGGCTGCTAAACGGATTGAGGAAGATGATCCTTTTGAGCCTGGTGTAACCCAGCCCCTGGATGTTCCACATGCTCTCTCTCACCCGGATCCACTCTACGTTGCATGTAGTGGGCCGTAACTCGATGTGCGGAGCAAAGAAGAACATCCACCGGAGCTTTGGTGTGTCAAGGGCAAGTGTAAAGTTGTCCACTCCACCACCCTCGCAGTGTTCCGACTGGCAGCTGTCGAGGCTGCGGCTCTTGAGCACGTAGGTACCTGCATAAACATAAAATCACATATATATGAAAAACAACAACAAATGCCCAGACTGGGTGAATCGGGCTAGCTCTACATACCGGGCGAGCTCACCACTATTGTATTCATTCTCGCTGCAAGAAGCGAAGGGCAGAGCTCGAGCAGCTGCTGCAGCACACTCACGTTGACCGGTATGTGAAAGGTGAGGAAGAGGAGATTAGGCAGCAGCGGTGACGGCAAGGCTGCATTGCCGAGCGTGGAGCCGAGTTGTGTGACGTAGACGTGGAGACAGCGGAGCTCCTGGCACGCAGAGATGTTGAACCAGAGGCCCTCGAACTTTTGCTGCGGACCTCCGTAGATGGTCACCGAGTGGAGCCCCTTCCCGATCTGGTGCAGCCAGCGAGTGCAATCTTGCTGGAACCGGATGGATAACTGGCGAAGATTGTTGTGGCCAAACCAGCGGATGAGCCCCTGCTCCACATCATGACTCCTCGATTCCAAGCAATAGTGTGTGACAAGCCTTGCCAGGTGCGCAAACCTCTTGCTTACCAGAGACGAGGGATTCAAGTCGCGGGACCAGGCGAGGAGAGACATGATCCGAATGAGGACCTCATCCTCGTCAAGGTACTGCCTTCGCATCACCAAAGTCTAGACCGAACTTTTCGATGAAGGTCGCGCGTTCTTTAGGAGCGGCAAACGCGTGATAGAGAGGCGGGGAGGAGAGCGCGGGAGGCTGTTTCTCGTTTGATGATCGAGTCTTTTCCAGCTCCATAGCCACGGAGAAGACGCCAAGGCTCCAATCGACCACGTACGATCTGGTGGGATCTCTACTCTTCTGGAGCGTTAACACGGCGTCGATTTTCATTTCTATCAAAACAATTCTAGCAAAACACAGATGATCACCAGTCCAGGTCCTCGTAGAAAAGGATCCAGTAGCTATTGTCACAACCGTCGGGCGCACCGCCACCATTGCCCCCACAGTCCGCACCGCTGCGTCTCCCGTTGCCCGCACCGTTGCCGCCGTGTTCCGCACCGTTGCATCCTTGCGAGCAAGAAGTTTCTAGGGCCACACAAATCCTAACCGTAATATCAGCGTGTAGCTGTGTGACAGTGCCTTCTCTGGATCACCGCACCATGCAGCGATCCATCTCAATATCAAGATTACATTGAAACAAATTTGATCGATCGACGCAGAACGGGAAATCTGAACGTACTCAAATATATTTTCCCAATCCTATAGTCCTACTACGCCGTTAAATCGTTTGAAAATGGGACTATTTGGTCTTGAGAATATTCTACGTTCTTTTGAAAACCATTGGTTCTTCGGCTATGAGATACCCGCATATTCTCCTTTCTTCTTCCTTTAAAAGCGAAGAGCTTGCGCAATCGATCGCTATCGAATCGTCGATTAGAGCAAGAACATTCCAAACACGACGCCGACACCAAAGACATTGCCATCGTTGTAGGTCGCCTCCGCGTAATCGTCAGTCTCGAGATCCCAGAAGCATCGCGACGCCATTTGCATGCTCTGCCCTCTCACCTCGCCGATCACCACCTGGACGACGAGCTTGTACCTCTCGAATTCCAGATCTGGCTGAATTCTTATCGAATTACTCTTGATCAGCTCTGAAAAGATACCTTTGAGGTCCGATTTGATGGAATCGGCGAGATCCCTGGCAACGCCCGGAGATGTCTCAGGATCATACACCAGGCCCTTCAATTTCTCTTTCAGCACTGCTGCGATCGTGTCTCTCACCTGTCCAACACGGAACTTCTTCTTTGGCGCGTAGAGAAGAGGGCTTTCGATAATGACCTGCAGAGGATGATCACGCAAGAATCAGTTGAGATGGAGATGATCTGGAAGATCGATTTCACCCGTTTCTTCTTGTCGGCGTCCTCGGGGAGTGTCTCCAGTGCCGCCATTTTGATCGCCCAAGAACCCTAGATTCCCAGTTAAGTGCCACGTCATTCACTACCCGTTCGTATCGTCCTAGTCAGCAGGCGAGGTTTAGGGTTCAGGGCTTTTGAAAATCTTCTTGCGATGTCGCTGCTCGAGGCGTCCATTCTCGAGAAGCTGGAGCTAGGGCGCGATCTCCCGATCGCGGAATGGGAGCGCCTCGACGGCGAGCGCTGCGCTCAGGAGCAAGCGATGCTCGCGGCGGAGCGCGATCGGCTTCGCTTGTCGCTTCAATCCGCGGATCCGGCGCTTGCCCTGGCCACCGACAAGAATCTGGAGTTCTGCGCGAATGCCGTGGCGCAGGTAACGATATTTCTAGCTAGATATTTGCTGATCTGCGAGTTCTTTCTCTAAAATTCCTCTCAAGATGAGGAGAGACGATGTCGAGCTTAGAAGGCTTCTCGAGGTCGCCAAAACTTTCTCGAAGCAACTTAACGATGTGGAGACGCTGAAGAAGGCAAATGTGCTGCTTGAAACCTCTCAGGTATCCAAAACTTTCCTTTGTGCGTGGGAGAAAGAAAAATACCTCGTCTTTCTCATACCTGGCAGGCAAGCATGGCTTCGCAAATCCAAGCCTTGAAGCTCGAAGTGGGTGGACTGAAAGCCAGGGCTGTGGGAAAATCGGCGAACTTGGCCAGTCCACAGATATTTGTCATGGGTGGCTACGATGATACTGCTCTCGTGAAAGCTGCGGAAGTATACTCGTTTAAATCATCGCAGTTCACGCCAGCTTGCTCCATGCTCATCCCGCGATCTTCCGCCGCGTCGAGCGTTTTGGACGATCGCATTTACGTGTTTGGTGGTGGAGATGGGAAGAACTGGTTCGACACAAGTAAGAATGCTCCTTTCATTGAATCTCTGGTCTTCTCATGCGATGGTATCTTGTACTAACTCAGCTGAGCGTTACGACTCTATCAGTAATAGCTGGAGCAAATGCAGCTCGATGAAATACAAGCGTGGTAACTTAGCAGGAGCAACAGTCGGCGGTAAAGTGTATGCTCTTGGCGGCGGTAACGGTAAAGCCCAGTTTTCTCAAGTGGAATGTTACGACGCCAACCTTGGTACTTGGACGTCTTCTCCGAGCATGCTCGAAAAGGTAACGACGTTCTTTTCTTTCTTTCTTTCTTTCTCTTTTTGTTTTTTTGCATTTACCCTCTGCATTGCAGCGTTACATGGTAGCAGCTGCTGAGATTGGTGGAGCTTTGTATGCTCTGGGCGGCTTTGACGGTAGACACTATCTCAGGTATACTCGTAGTCTTTTCTAAGCTTTAAGATGGTGCATTGATTAGGACTATGGAGCGCTTTGATCCTCGTGAATCTGTCTGGACGAAGATGCCATCGATGACGTCCAAGAGAGGCAGCTTATCCTCGGCTGTCTCAAACGGGAAACTGTGAGTATTTGTCCACCTCGTCCATCTTCTAGTCAGAATTAGAAAACATGTTTCTGCAGGTATGCGCTGGGAGGTTTCGATGGTTCTGGATTTCTTTCGACCGTCGAGGCTTTTGATCCTCGTGCTGACCGCTGGGAAACGGTAAGTCACTGAATCATGTTTCGTCTTGTCGTTTATCTGACAACGTCGAAACAGGTTCAACCCATGGGGTGCGCAAGAGCTTACGGTACTGCAGTCACTGTCAATGGCGCCATCCACGTTATCGGTGGACTGCAAACAATGAATGTTCTTTGTGATACTGTATGATTTTCTTGATATTCTCTTACAATGTACTACCAAGCTATTTTTTTGTTGCAGTGCTACGTGTACCGAGAGGAATCGGGCTGGACGAAGTTCGGACCATCCGGATGGAAGCGCAGCTTTCTCACCGCGGCAGTACTATAGGCAAGATTGATGCCATGCATCTCTGGTACATAACTTACATAATCTAAATGATGGTTTTAAAACGTTTGTCTGGTTTCTCACGCACGAGGTCCAGGCAGGCCGATAAGTCTGGGCGAGTTGGTGAAAGTTTTATGATGATCCTGTAAGCAAACAAAAGAACAGTTTCGTTGAAACGAATCCAGCTGGGGCATAGCTATGAGAATCCGAGTACAAGCAGATGCTCCGAAAGTCGCATTGCGTTCTCTCGATTCAGCGCGAGCGAGCTATAAATTTCGGTCAGGCTTTCACTTCTTTCTCATCACTTACTCGCATCCCTGCAGCTCTTGTCCACCACCATGGCCACCACCCGTTCGGCGACGATGATCCTCAGCGCTGTTCTATTAGCAGCATTGCTCTTCGCCTCCTCGGTGTGCGCTCACCACCATCACCACCGAAAGTTTAAATCATCCGGCTTCTTTTCCGCTCCGACAAAAGACTATCAAGGTGGTGGCTCAGGATACGCAGGCTTTGGTGGTGGCTCTGGTTCCGGCTCTGGAGAAGGAAGTGGATCCGGTTCTGGATCATCGTCACCGGTATATGGAGGAATTCCAGGTGGTGCTGGCTCTGGTTCTGGAGCTGGCTCGGGCTCTGGGATGGGGAGTGGCTCCGGCTCTGGGAGCGGCTATGGAAGTGGTGGCCCAGTGAGTGGAGGCGGCACAGGTTCTGGCTCTGGCTCCGGTTCTGGAAGTGGCTCGGGTTCTGGCTCTGGAAGTGGTGGAAGTCCGGGATATGGTTCTTCGCCTGGCAGTGGCTCCGGCTCTGGACAAGGCAGCGGCTCCGGCTCGGGCTCTGGAATGGGATCGGGATCCGGGAGTGGTGGCTCGTATGGAAGTGGCTCTGGACAAGGTAGTGGGAGTGGATCTGGCTCCGGCTCTGGAAGTGGCTCTGGAGGAAGTGGAAGTGGAAGTCCATACTATGGAGGAATTCCTGGAAGTGGCTCGGGCTCCGGCTCCGGCTCTGGTTCTGGCTCTGGAAGCGGCTCTGGAGGAAGTGGAAGTCCGTACTATGGTGGAATTCCTGGAAGTGGCACTGGAAGTGGCGGTGGAAGTGGAAGTGGAAGTGGTAGTGGAAGTGGAAGCGGGAATGGAAGTGGCGCAGGATCTTCTCCAAGTGGAACTCTTCCTTGCAGTCCACCACCTTATTAAAGTAGCACTCCAGGTTCTGGAGAAGGGAGTGGGGGTGGAAGTGGCTCAGGATCTGGGTCTGGCTATGTGCCCAGTCCTCCATATTATGGTGGTGGCTATTAGATTTTGACCACTACTATAAAATAATTTGTATCTATAAATTTGAATTTGAATATAACCATTTCTAATTTATATAAAGTAAAATAGTAAATCACTTAACACCAAGCAAATTTTGCAGCTGGGAGAATGATATAAACCATAAAAATCTTCCAAGAATAGACTGTGGGATATAAGGCTGTAACGGGAGGTTTGGCCTAAGGTTCACCCTCTTTTATAAATAACCACATTTGACACTAAATTATAACTTAGGTTGCATTTAAATGAATTTCAAGAAAGGAGGATGAAGTATTTCATTTTTTAATTTTCAAAGAAGAGAGATTCCTTTTCTTTCCTTTTTCTTCAAGTTTCCATTCATAATTTTATTCAGAAATATTGGAAAGAACCATAAGAATCTTATATTCTTTTGCTTTGTAACTTTTGAAAGAACCAATAAGTAAACAAAAACAAAACTTGATATACACATTTACCTTTCTAGATTTGATGGCCATGCTTAAGAAAGCTTGGAAATGACAAATTAATATCTTAAATCACCGCTTCTAATATGGAAGAGAGTTTGTCATTGCTTTTGAGGTAGTAAAAACCTTTTGAAATATATTAAAACATAGTATATGCATCACATAAAAACAAAATCCAAGGCCATATCAGACTTGAAAATGAACTTAATTGAAACATTCAAAAGAGAAAATGACAAAGGCATCATGCCTGTACAAATGATAAAGTCTCCAAGAAACATAAACAAATGTTCTAGCAAACATGGGATTTTGAAAGAAGTGTTCAAAAGTAAATATGCAAAATCATAAAATCAACAAGAAATTACTTGTTTCTATTGAACAAATGTCTCCAATCTAGAGATTTTTGGTGCCACCTTATGGAAAAATGGGTAGGTATACTTACAACGAGAGCAATGAATTGGTAGTCTGTAAATCTGTTTTACTGTTGTACTTGTCTTTGTTTAAGATTTTCTCATTAGACTTAAAACCCTCCCTCCACAAACATTGCAGATGGTGGCAATATATCCTCAAATTGCTTAAGAGACTGAAATAAGAGTAGTCAAATGCCACCATGTTAGCCTTTGCATACCACAAATTGAGCAAACCTCAGCACCATCAAATTAATCTTTATCACCTTCACATAGACTTCACCTGACTAGTTCATTCATTCCAAACCTCCTGCAAAAACAAAGAGAACTCTATCCCCTGTGCCTGGTTGGCCCCACTCTCTCCTTCATCCCAGACCCTGGTTCATCCAAGCCTGCTAGATCAATGCTTGATTCTTCTTGAAATATTGATCGATTTGCCTCAGATTCTTCCACTATCAATTGATCTACCTTGCATTCTCCCACGGCCTCCAAGAACCATGGCCTAGGTGCTTGAATTCTATCCAACTCTCTAGATTCACATTTATGCAAGGCGACCACTCTCTCCTCTCTTCTATTTACCTTTCTCATTGTGATCCGATGATCGGCACCTTGCTCCACGGCCTTCTTCCAATAGTTTTCCACAACATACCCAACCTTGGAAATGTGCCAGGCCCCCTATGGGGTGAATGATGCAAGTGAAAGGACTGGTAGAAAGAAGCAGCAACAACGAGCCCGGGTTTTAAAAGAGGAAAGAGGTTTAGAGATGGCACCACTGAAGCCTGCCATTGACGAGAACCCCGGTGTTGAAGAATGTGGCACTGTTGCTAGAACTGATGCAAATTGCTAGACACACCTTCAAAAAAACATTATAGAAGCGTCTCAGCAAAAGAGGACTTTCAAGCTCAAAAAACAGAACGAAACGAGAAATCTTGAAGAAAAAACTGATTTTTACCTCAGGAAATGAGAAAAGAACCTGGAAAGAACTTGCAACGCAAACTTATCTCTAGAGCTCAGGAAAACTTACTTGCCAGTATGGAAGTGGGCGATCCTTTCACTGATGACGAGCCATATCCGAGGAATGAAGAGGATGACCCATGCATGGAGCTTGTTGGAGGATAGCCAGTGATGAGCCCCACATTCTCGCCGATGTCCTTGACCACGCCCAGATTGTTGGGCTCAATCTGCGAGTAGTGGAGCACCGCCGAACGCGTAGTGACTGACGTGGGGGGTTCTTGGGTAATCGCGAAGAATCGATCAAAATGGCGGCATTGGAGACTCTCCCCGAAGACGCCGACAAGAAGAAACGGGTGGAATCAATCGTTCCAGATCAGCTGATTCTTGCGTGATCATTCGGGATTCCTCTACAGGTCATTGATCGAAAGCCCTCTTCTCTACGCGCCAAAGAAGAAGTTCCGTATTGAGGGACACGTTCGTGGCAGTGCTCACAGAGAAATTGAGGGGCCTGGTGTGTGTTCCAGAGACGTCTCCGGGCATTGCCAGGGAATCGGCCAATTCTCAGCCAGATCTGGAATTCGAGAGGTACAAGCTCGTCGTGAGAGGGCAGAGCATGCAAATGGAGTCGCGATGCTTCTCGAGACTGAGGATTACACGGAGGCGACCTACAACGATGGCAATGTCTTTGGCGTCGGCGTCGTGCTTGGAATATTCTTGCTCTAATCGACGACTCAGCAGCGATCGATTGCGCAAGCTCTTCGTTATCGAAAGAGAGAGGAAGAAGACAGACGAATATGCGGGTATCTCATATGCGGACAAAGATACTAGGCGCGTGGAGAGCACGTGTTTATCATCCCCTACCTAGGGCAACCATTTCTTTAAGAAAATTCTCCTCCCATTGCTCCGGACTCGAGGCTATGGCGATAATATTTCCAGTCCACGAGCTCCAAATCTTCGATCCAAGAAGCTGCCGCTGCGAGATTCGAGCAAGATTAGCTCGCCGGGGCTGAGGTATAGAGATCGGCATTCTAGGATTGAGGAGGATCGACAAATCAGGATCGGAATTTCTCGCATCGATCGATAGCGCGGCGCTGCGGCGATGTATTTCGTCACGGATCGAGGATGGGCAATCCTCCTGATGCTCTGCTCCTTGTGGTGCCTCGGGACCTGGCCGATCTTCTTCAACATCGCCGAGAGGAGAGGAAGGCTGCCACAGCACACCTACATTGATTACGCCATCAGCACCTTCGCGGTGGCAGTGATCTTTGCGTTGACCCTGGGGCAGATCGGGGATAGCGATCCAAGCGCTCCCAATTTCATCCAGCAGCTCTCTCAGGTATATGGCTCTTTCTTTCCCGGCATGAATTCTAAGGATGTACGACAGGATAATCTTCCTTGTGTGCTTATAGCTATGGCTGGAGGCATCGCCCTCTGCCTGGGCAATATTTGTATGCAATACTCGCTGGTGTTCGTGGGGATCTCTATCACGGAAGTCATATCCGCGAGCTTGGCAGTCATCTTTGGTAAGCTAGCTCTATCGACTTTCTTTTCTTCCCTGTGGTGGTTTTGTGTGATTTGTTTTGCTTGTCTTCTTCGATCAAAGACGTGTGATTCATTTTAGTTGCGTTCTTCGAATATGTGTGATTTATTTTTCTTGCGTTCTTCGAAGATTGAAGTACTGACTTATTTCTAGGAACGACTGCGAACTACTATCTGGACAATTGCTTGAACTCTGCTAGAGTTCTCTTCCCGGGAGTTGGGTGCTTCGTGATCGCTGTTCTGCTAGGATCTTTCTGTCACGCATCAAATGCAAATGATAGAACGGCGAGGTTGGGCCCAAGCAATCCCAGGTGAGATTAAAGTCACTTTCCAGTTAAGCGACATTTATATATTGTATGTGGACTTTTTAGGTGCGAGGCTGAGCAAGATCTTCACACGAACCTTCTAAAGAGCTGTAAGCTTTTCTCGTTCTTACTATTTCGGTTTTGATAACGATATCTAGCATGTTAATTTGATTCAGCTCTGGTGGACCTCATTGCGACAGAAACATCAAGCTCTTTTATGGACTTGGAAGAGCAAAGAGCAGTGAAGGTATGTACTATGACTTCTAAAACCGTCAAACTTGATCAAAATGGATTTTTTTCCTTCATCCAGGTCAGAGATTCCAGCGTCATGTTTGGACTCCTCCTAGCCTTCATCACCGGGACGTGCTACGGCTTCTTCTCGCCGCTGTTCAACATCGCCACCAACGATCAGTTCCACTTGCTTGATCCTCAAGTCCCACACCTGGTAATCTACACAAGTTTCTTCTACTTCTCCACGGCATTCCTGGTGCTCGGAGTGCTCATCAACGTCTACTTGCTCTACTATCCCGTGCTCGGTCTACCAAAGTCCTCACTCTGGGCCTACCTCTCGGACTGGAAAGGCCGGGAGCTGGCGATCCTGGCAGGATTGGTGTGTGGTTTCGGGAATGGTTTCCAGTTTATGGGAGGACAGGCAGCAGGATACGCCGCCGCCGATGCTGTCCAGGCGTTACCACTGGTGGGAACGCTGTGGGGAGTGCTCCTCTTTGGTGAATACCGTGGTAGCTCACACAGGACGCTGGCGTTACTGGTGTCCATGCTGGTGATGTTCTCGGTGGCAGTGGCTCTTCTCATCGCATCCGCGAGAGAAAGGTGATTAAGTGGCCTGAAAATAACTCTATGGATTTGGTTAATTCTTTAGCTTCCCAGGTGGGAAGAACACTGTATCGTATCACACATTCTTGCCGATGATTGTATAATGTAAGAAAGCTCGATCTCCTCGAATTTAAGTAAAACCAGGAGTTTACTCCCGGTCGATTCTTGTATATCATTTCCAAGCTTGATTTTTCGTATAAAACTTGATTTTTTATCAATAAAAAGTCAAGATTTAGCTTATCCAAGCGCGTAAAACTTGATTTTTCATACAAAAAAAAAAAAACTCAAGCTTTTTGTTTAAAAATTTGAATTTTTACCAGTAAAAAGTTAAAGATTGATAGAAATGTAGTTCTTGCGATCTCACTTTCATCAGCTTGCTTTCATAGCTCAATTGTTAAGAGCACCCGTTTAGTAAACGGGAGGTCCTGAGTTCAACTCTCAGTGAAAGCATATTTTTTCTCTCGCATTGTGGGCCGGCATTATTGGTGCAGTGGTTATTCTTTTTTTTTTTCCCTTCGCAACAGTTGAATATTCCTCCTCATCCGGTGGCAGTAGCTCCCATTTTTGCCATTGTGTGGAGGCGAGGGCATCTAGGGCTTGGGCGCGGCGCTGCCGCTTCATCGATCATCCACCTCCGCGATCACAGATCTGGTAGAGTACTGCGCATTCTCGTCGATTTCGCTGCTTTGGCCTTGATTTCTTGCAAAGGTTCCTCCAAAATCTCCCTGTTTGAGCTTTGTCGGCGTGTTTGCGTGGTCACTGTTGTGGATTTTGGCTGTTGCTCGCTAGCAATTAGAAATTCTCATCGATCTTGCCGTCTTGCTCATCTCAAAACCTGTTTTTTCTCGGTTCTTTGCAGGCGATTTTCTCGTGGCGAGCATGGAAATCTGCGCAAGAAATCTTAGCACTGTCCAACAGCCTTTGGCGGCGCTCAGTAGCATGGAGACTAACGAAAGGAGGAGGTTTAGACCAGGAATTTTTGTAGACAAGCTGGAAGACGAGGTCTTTTGTCCAAAGCCTCGCCGTCCTTGTAACTCGGGTCGTCGGCAAAAGAGGTAAGACTTCTTCTTGTGTTTTCTTTGTTCTTTCTTACCCAGTTCTTTGTGTTTTCCTTGATGCAGCTCAACACCTCGTAGTAGTGACGCGGGATTCGAAATCCTGGACATTTTTTTGAGTAAGGTACTTGATTTCTTTCTCTTCTTCTTCTTTGTTCGTACGTCTGTTTCTTCCTTCTGTTGATCGCTGAAAGTTTTTTTTTTTCTTGTTCTCTTGCTCTTAGACGAACAAATTCACGGATTTGAAAGCATGTTTCCTTCTGTCAAGTTTTTCTCCACTGCCGTCTTTCATTTTCCTAAGCTCGGTTTTCATGAGTCTTCGATTTCTTCGTATGCCGAGTCTTTTCCGCTACTAAAACTTTTGGCTGATCGCTGAAAGTTCCGTTTTTTTTCTTGTTCTCTTGCTCTTAGACGAACAAATTCACGGATTTGAAAGCATGTTTCCTTCTGTCAAGTTTTTCTCCACTGCCGTCTTTCATTTTCCTAAGCTCGGTTTTCATGAGTCTTCGATTTCTTCGTATGCCGAGTCTTTTCCGCTACTAAAACTTTTGGCTGATCGCTGAAAGTTCCGTTTTTTTCTTGTTCTCTTGCTCTTAGACAGAAAGCATGTTAATGTGAAAGCATTTTTGCTTCTCGTACCATGTCAAGTTCTTTCGTCTTTCATTTTCTGAAGCTTTCATGACACTTTTTGAGTCTTCGATTTCTTCGGAGTCTTTTCCGCTACTAAAGATTCTTCCAGCGTTTTGTTTCTAACCAGCGCCGTGCTCGTTTACAGAGTAGCTATGGCGAGCCATCGAACTTTGGTTGCTCTCCACCTTATTTTTCCGGCTCACCACCGACGCGAGCAGGCAATCCCCTGGTTCGCGATGTACAGTTCGGTCGCCAAAGGCCACCGCCCGCCATAACTCCGTCGTCAACAACACCATCAACAGGAGGCCGTTCACAGCAGACTGCTCACGCTCGAGAGGCTTCTCGTGGATCCAGCCCCTGCATCCGAGTGGAAGGTTTTGCTTCCACTGGTGCGGACATCGTCTCAGCCATCGCTTGAGCGAAAACAATTCTTTCGGATCGATCGTCGCCGAAACTCCATCGACTACTTATACAGGTGTGTGTCCTGGTCGAGAGGTGTGAGAAGCTGTTTTTTTCTTCCTCTTTTCTTTCATTTCCATTTTTCTTCCAGTTTTTTTTTGCTTTGTTTTTCCTTGCTTCCTTCCGGGCAGGAACAGGCAGTGAGAGAGATCATCCAGATTGAGAAGCAGCACAATCAAAGACCATCGTGCTGGTGCTCGGCGAGAAAAAATTTTGGCCGGAACTTTGCCAGAGAGAATTGAGAGAACAATCCTTTTTTTTTTGCTTAGTAGTGTACAAAGAAGTGAGTGGTTTTGACAGATTTTCGTTTTTCCCGTTATTTCTTCTGCTGATGTACATGAAAATTCTATGTAATTAAAACTGACTTGTGGTACTTGTGATCAAGACTATCTTGTACAGTTGTACTTGAGTAAAACTTGCTTAGATATAATTAATCTTTTTATTTAGACTAAACACCCGCGAGGGTGCCACGTGTCACGACACTGTCAGCAAAATGTAGCTAGCTTTGGAAGGAAATAGGGTTCTTGCGCGGTGGATTCTTGTTTTGTTGTTTATTTGCTGCGATGGATCACGCCGCCGATGCACAGCGCACAGATCTTATGACGCTTACGAGGTTTGTGCTCAACGAGCAGAGCAAGCATCCGGAAGCGCGAGGCGATCTCACGATTCTCCTCAGCCACATTGTTCTTGGCTGCAAATTCGTCTGTGCCGCTGTTAACAAAGTATTCTAGTCTCGAATTGTTTGTCCCAGTTCTTATTCCTCAATTTGTGCGCTTTAGGCTGGCCTTGCAAAGCTCATTGGACTTGCTGGAGACACAAACATACAGGTACTATTTTTCTTTCTTCCCTCTTTTGGTGACATGAGAAGAAAGGCAAAGCTTAAATATTGCTCGCTTCCAGGGAGAAGAACAAAAGAAGCTGGATGTTCTTTCAAACGAAGTTTTCATCAAGGCACTGTGCAGCAGTGGTCGAGCAGTGAAGTTCTTTCAACTCGTAGATCTTGGTTTTTGACTTGAGATGTTATAGAACGTTCTTGTCTCCGAGGAAAACGAGACTGAAATTTACGTTGAAACTTCAAGGCGAGGAAGGTTTGCTCCCATAAACATTTCTCAGTATTATCACTTTCTCTCCAGGTACTGCGTAGTTTTCGATCCCCTCGATGGCTCCTCCAATATAGATTGCGGCGTATCAATTGGAACGGTGAGAAGATGGTGGATAGTTTTGCTCAACTTTGGCTTGTCTTGCGTAGATCTTTGGCATTTATATGCTGAAAGATGGAAAGGCGGGCGTTGTCAGTGATGTCTTACGGCCTGGAAAAGAAATGGTTGCCGCTGGATACTGCTTATATGGAAGTTCGTGCATGGTAAAAAGCTATTTCTTCTCGCTTGGCTTGAGTTTCGAGCATGCTGAGAATCCTTTCTAGCTTGTTTTGAGTATAGGAAATGGCGTCCATGGCTTTACACTGGACCCTGCTCTTGGAGAGTTTATTCTTACACATCCAGTAATGCGGGTAAGTGAGTTTTATATGTTTTGCAGTGTTAACTTAATGTCTTATAGGTTCCAAGGAAGGGAAAGATTTATTCTGTGAACGAAGGAAATGCTAAGCACTGGGATGAACCAACAAAAAAATACGTGGAGATTGCAAAGTTTCCGACAGGCGGCTCGGTGCCAAAGTCTCTTAGATATATCGGAAGGTTTGTATGCTTTTTGCATTTTACAGAAGTAATTCAGTACCTATGTTTCTTTAATCTGTTTTTGCTCTACCAGTATGGTGGCAGATGTCCACAGGACTTTACTCTACGGTGGCATTTTCATGTATCCCGCTGATAAAAAAAGTCCAAACGGAAAGTTGCGGTAACTTATCCATTTCCAGAGTTTCTTATCCTTCTTTTGTTGATAATCACTCGCCATTTCCAGCCTTTTGTATGAGGTTTTTCCTATGGCATATCTCGTAGAACAAGCAGGCGGACAAGCTTTCACTGGAAAAGAGCGCGTAAGAACTTATACTGTTCTTTCACACATCTTTTGTTTTGTCTCTTGATTTACAGGCACTTGACGTTGTTCCAAAAAAGATTCATGAGAGGTCACCAATATTCCTGGGAAGCTTTGAAGACGTTGAAGAGATCAAAAGTCTCTATCACGCATCCGGTTTGCTTTAGCTCCCAAGTAAGATGCACATATTTGACAGTACACTGGACTCACGCTCATTTAGTCGTGTACAGCCTCGTGCAATCACGCTATTAGAGTGTCACAAAAATTGGATTACATAAACGGAAGACTCGAAACATGGTCATTCAGGTTATTGGGCTCCTTTTGTTCTTTCTAATATACTTTCCAGGATGACACTTAGTTTCTTCCATGCAATGCTGGTTATCTCCTCACTTTGTGTCTCCTTTCCAGACCATTTTCCTTGTAAATGCTATTCATCGCCAACCCCAGCTCCAAGTCCATCTCCAGTTTTTCCGGCTCCATCTCCTATCTATCCATCTCCATCTCCAGTATCTCCATCTCCACTCTCTCTGGCTCCAGCTCCTATCTCTCCATCTCCAGTCTCTCCAGCTCCATCTCCAATCTCTCCGGCTCCAGCCTCTCCATCTCCATCTCCACTTTCTCCGGTAGCTCCAGTCTCTCCATCTCCACTATCTCCGGCTCCAGCCTCTCCAGCTCCAGTCTCTCCATCTCCACTCTCTCCGGCTCCAGCCTCTCCAGCTCCAGCCTCTCCATCTCCGCTTTCTCCAGCTCCAGCTCCAGTCACTCCATCTCCATCTCCGCTCTCTCCGGTTCCATCTCCATCTCCTGCTCCAGCTCCAGTCTCTCCAGCACCATCTCCAACTTCTCTAGCAGCCTCCCCGGTTCCATGTCCGACCTCTCCAGTTCCATCTCCAACACCAACATCTCCAACATCTCCAAAGTCCACGACGAAGACACCATTTCCTTGGAGAGATTGGCCCAAGGAGATGGTGGGACGTCAACGCACTTGGGCTGTTCCATCTCCAGCTCCAACCATCACTCCAGCACCCTTCACTGTTCCATCTCGTCGAGATGGTCGCGGAGGATGGGGACGTAGCCTGTCACTACGTATGTAAAGATTTACGTATCATTTGATTGATGCATAACACTTTTGACTTGAAAGGGCAAAAAAGAACGCATGAAAGCCCCAGGGTTGCTTCAAGCACAATCCCTTGTGAGCCAAGGAAGAAAACCAAGCACCAAAAACAAAACAAAAAAAAAACAAACTTTCCTCCCGTCAAGAAGCTCGAGCAAAACTTTGCACGGAGATCTCCGCGAGTGGAGCCGGCTGGACATAGACGAAGGTAAAGCTGCTGCGAGGGGGCAAAGATCTGATCCAGCTCGGGAATGTGTAAGCGTGATCGCTCGCTGACAACTTTGTGAGCCCCCAGAAAGATCCACTGAGCTTGTGGATCTTGAGCACGAGCTTCTCCAGAGTTTGCTTGGATCTGTTGCTTACAGTAACTCCATAGCGGTAGAATCTCTGGCCTCGATAGTCCCACGACATTGTCACGTTCTGATCGATAGAGATACCATCACCTGGAAACTCCAAGTTTGAGCTATCTATCTTCAAAAAAAAAAAAAAAACACTGCAAAGGAAAGACGAGTACCCGGCTGTTTTCGCGACGATGGCGATGGAAGAGGAGACGCTGCCTTCGAAACTGTGCATCAAAATCGATTTTTGAGTGAACCAAGATGGAAAAACACGAAGATCTCTTACGTGAGACGAGATTTTGATCGTTTTTCCTTGTGCTTCCACCGTTGTGGAGCCTCGCGAGCAATCCAACCAGCGGCCCATTGTTGTACGTAGTTGGCTCTGTTTGCTCCCAGTTGTTTCGCTCGTCCGCAAAGTTGTCCGACACATCGGGGCCGCCGACGAGAGCTCCGACGAGCAGGTTTGGATCGCTTTGCCTTCTCGTGTACCACGTACTGTATCCTTCCTTGCAACCCACGAAGCTCGGGTTTTGCTTGATGGAAACGATGGATGCAGCGCGGTGGTGAACTTGCCGGGGATAGTTGAATCCAAAGCCCACCAAGTAGCTCGTTGCTCGGGGATTGTCACCCAGAATGTAATCCACCTGTGGCGAGAGAGAAAAACGATCGCTTAATACTTGGAAGAGAAAAGAAAAAAGAGAGCTTTTTGTTTTTCTTCGCTTGCCTGAGATCGAGCTAAGTTGAGCAGCTGTGATGGATTCACAGCTCTCCCATTGCAGCGGAGAGTATTCCCGGTTGAAGTGAGATAATCCGAGTAGACGGTGAGGAGGAACGAGGCAGAGGTAACGTATTGCATGTTATTCCATTGCCTGATGAACATCAAGCCACCTAGTTGTGAATAAAAAAGTGTTTGAGAGGAAGAACTTCGATACAACTTTGAAACTTCACCTGGAGTTCTTTGGACTTGCGCGCCAGAGTTTTGCTGGAGGCAAGCGCAGAGGAAATATTCGGCCTTGGATTGATACTGCTCGAGGACGCTTTTGTAAGACCCGGCCTTTCCATCCAAGAGCACCTGAAAGAAATCTCTCCAAAATCAGCCAAGGAGAAATAAAATCGAAGTTTTCTCTCATGGAAACTTATGGAACGAACTGACCTTGGAAGCTAGCACTTGAACTCCAGCGTACTTTATATCCCAGCTAAACTCCGTGATGCTCCAGCCAGTCCCTCCAAGAACAGCGGCATTTTTCGCTACGTAGTCGAGGTATTTTTGCTCGCCAGTAGCTCTGTGCAGCCAGATCGCGGCCCACAGAAGCTCATCCTGAAATCCAGCTCCAAGTAAATCACAGAAAAGAAGAACAAAAACTAGTTTTTTTTCTAGCAAGAACTCACAGCATAGCCACTCCTGGAAGAGTAGAACTTTTGAGCCACTGGAATGCTGCTATCGTATTTCCCTCTATACGTATCCGCGAAGTTGAAGAGCTGGGAAACAAAGAAAAAAGAGATCTTTAGCAAAGAAGAAAGCAAATCCATGAATTCATCAAACCTGCTTAGCATGAGTTAAGAGGAGATTGGAATAGGAAGCTTGCGATCCCCTGAAAGCCATGGAGGCGGCAGCCATGGCGGCCGCGGTCTCTCCCGCTAGATCGGAGCCAGGCCTGCTTGGATCCAAACGGTAGGCCTGGCGGGACGTGGTCATGTCCTCGGGCCTTTGCCAGCACGCGTGATCCGATTGACCCTCTCCAACCTAGAGATCCACCCATGAGTGGTACAATTCGCGGCAAAGATCGAGCTCTCACTCCTCGCTCTCACTGCCCACGAGCTCGGATTCGCGATCGCGGCCAAAACCACAAGACCCACTACGATCCAGCCAAGAACACGGCGCTTCCGGGCGTGGAATCGGGGCACGACCCACGAGCGCTAGGCGATCGAAAAGGGAGCCCACATTGGTGGATTGTGAGATCTAGCCGCGATCCACGAACCCACATTGGCGAGAGATCGCGAAGGAGAGGAGGACAAGAGATGGAGGAACAAACCTGGCCCCATAGCACATTGGGCTCGGTGTGGGATTTGAGGAAGTAATCGGTGCCCCACTTGATCGCGCCCAGCGTGTTGCCCAGCTCGCCGCTCTTGGCGATTTGATCGCGATACTCGACCACGCTCCACGAGAGCATCGTGATCGTGAAGGCCATGGGGAGTCCAAACTTGACGTTGTCGCCGGCATCGTAGTAGCCTCCCGAGAGATCAACCTGGAACAAAGATTGCGGGTCAGTGAAGGAAAACTCCACCTTTGAGAAGGAAAACTAAGAGAGAATGCGAGGAAATCGTCTACTTTGCGAAGAACAAAGGGATGATGAAACGAAGAACAAAGAAAAGATGGTAGAATCTTGAGAGCTTTTCGTACCCCCGAGGCTTTTCCATCTTCCAGGCCCGAGTGAGATCTCCATGTCACTCGCTGGTGATCGGGGAGCCTCCCGGATCGCTGCGCCTCGTAGAAAAGAATGCTTTTGCTCAGAGCCTCGCCATAGTCAAACGCTGCCGCCGACGCACTTCGTCCCGAGAGAGAGATGAAAATGCAGGCGAGCGAGGCAATGCAAGTGAGCGATCGAGCATTCTTCTTTCCCATGATCGATCTTCTGGCACAGAACAAGAGATGCTTTTGATCGATCGGGCTGATCGATCGAGTCAAAGGAGGAGGAGCATTGATGATATGGAAAGATCTTCTCGGAGATGGAAGAGGAAGAAGAAGAAGAAACGAGCGAGCGATTGGAGAGAGTTGGATCGATCAGCCAAGATTGCAAACTTATATATTGGAAATCTTTTCCCCCGTGTTTCGCAAGCAACGAACATGTTACGTTTAAAGCTCGCTGCTGTTTGCTGTTTGATTGTCTCCTTTTACTTTTCCTCTGTGATTTCTTTTCCTTTTTTGCTCGGAAAACATATATAAAAACGATAGAGAGACAAATTTGCATGTCAATAACCGTGGCATGATCAAAGCAAATCGCCCATCGAGATTTCAGGATTAGTTGCTACCGTTACCAAAGCGCGAAAAAGAAAAAACTTGATATTTTGGTTTTCTGGTGGAAAGCCTCGCGTCACAGGTGGTATAGTTTTTCCCCCGCCGCCCCCGCGCGTGTTCTTTGCGTTGATCGAGATCACGGGGCCGTACAGAGAGCCTGAGAGCCTTTTTCTGCGAGACCCCTCGTACGGAGCCATGAACATGGTGGGCATGTGACACAAGGTTGAAAATTTTGGAAGTTTCGCTCAGACTTTGGCCACCGTCGGGCAGACAAAACAGACGAGATCATTTCACGACGCTCGCAGCTTTCACACCTCTTTTATTTTTATATTTCTAATTTTGTTTTGTTTATTTATGGTTGACTTTATGTGTTTTGACTTAATGTTGTTGTAAAAACATAGATATAAATTGTAACTTGGTCAGCAACACACTAAAAAGCCAACGCATTCAAGAGCCATGGTAATTTTCGAGAATTATTCAAATGAAATAATATGAAATAAAAAATGTTATTTTTCTAAGCACTACCGTACCACCACAAATGTTTTAGATCGTGCATTGGTTTGACATTTTTGTAAGGCATTAAGTGCCACCATGTGTTTTGATTCGGTCTATAATATTTTAAATTTTAAATTCTCCTGTGCTCGCCAATGCACACCCCACTGATCAGACAAAGATGCAAGCAAAGTTCACGTAGAGCAAAAATTCGAGGGAAGAATTAAAAGGATAAAAGAGAAGCTGTGTCTTTGACGAGAAACAAAGCAAGCACACTGACATGGGAATATCTCAGAAACAAAGAAAAGATTCGTAGCGTAGCATCGTGTTGGACGCTATAATTTCTTTGGCGCACGGTAGCGACCGGCTTTGTCAAAAGATGCACGCCTTGGAGCAGTGAAAATGGAGAAGTTTCCACTGTGATCTCAATCGACCGAGCCGACCGATACAATTCGAGCCGGTGCTCTGGAAAAGGCTCACGCATCTTGACTTGGGCGATCGATCTACATCGGTGGAAACTCGCGAGCCCGACTGTAGAAGCACGATGAATAGATCTGGGATTAGTTTAAGACGCTTAGGAAGCTTCCCGGATTAGAGAAAAGGAAGAAACTCGAGAAAGCAACAAAACCAGACCTTCGGCAGCAACGCAAGTTCACACAACTTTGATCGTTTGATGGAAACGGTACTTTATCTCTCGTTTCTCTTCTTTTTTTTCTTCTGTAAAGCGAGACTTAGATCGGCAACGATCTGCAAAGCTAAAACTACTAGCTTTCAAACAGAGAGAGCGAGCCAACATAAAAAATAAAATAAAAACTCAAGAACTCTACTTAGAAGAAACATATACAGCAAGCTTTTCTTCTTCACCTTTGTCTATCAGACCTGATTGACGCGATCGTCGAGATTATAGCGGATGATCTTCACGAGCAGCCGAAGCAGTTGCAGGAAACCGGAGTGAAGGAGCAAAGGCCGAATGGGACCCTTCTCAGCGAGCAATTGATGTTGTAACAGCATCCTGTTAGAAAGCAATACTTCCTTGTCTGGTCCGTGCAGCACGTACATGGCGCGCACTCACGAAAATCTCCCAGCCTCCTCCTCCTGGCACTGCTGTTATTGAAAGCCTCATAACGAATGCCTGACGCTGGAAACGTATCACCCGGGGCACTTTGATTGGAAGCTAGCGGAATTTGGCTAGAGCTAGACTCGCACTGCAGAGAACAAAGAGAAAAGATCGAAAACTAGAAAGTGTGAGTGACAAAAAATGGGTGGTTTTTAAATGCGAGACACAGTCAACCAACAACAACAGAGATCATAGCTAAACACCTGTGTCAATCGATAGGAAAAAATACAAAGGAAAGAGAAAGCAAACGAATAAAAGCATGTAAACATCTCCTAGCTACCTCTGACCAACAGCGCAACCTCTTTATGGCGTGAAAGCCCAGCAATTCTAAACAAAGCTTAAGAACTATTAGAATATAGCATGCGACGCGAGCAAGAAATCCGGTCAATCCAGGAGGAGAAAAGCGAGAAATCCAAGGAAGAACACAAGGCAAACACACAGATCATACTATAATTTAGTACTCGACCTTTGCGATTCCTTGCGATTGCGCTCCATCTAGCCGCATCGGGAAACCAATCGGTGAAATATTCTCGAAATGTAGCTTAGATTTCTCACCTGTGAGAGTGGGACTCGCGAGCGCGATCGAAATCACAATGGCAGCCAGCAGCAGCTGCCGCCACAGCAAGCGCCGCGCCATACAATCGCCGCGAGCGCGCCGCGAAACCTAGAAATCCTCGAGCGCCGCTGCCAATGCTGCCGATAGCTTTCCAAGAATCTGCCAGTGCATTGCGCTGAGCATTGCCGGAGGTGGAATCTACACAAAGAATGGCGCACCGAGGGAAGAAATCGCGCTGTGGATGGAAGCCGCCTCGCCGCGCCTCACCTCTCTTTCCCTCTCGAGGACGAAAAACAAGCAAGTGAGATCCAACGTCATCCAGGCATGACACGCACACTAAAAGTAAAATGACGTGGCTCAACAGAGAGCGTCCGATGAGCTCAATTAATACAGGTAGGAAACATTTACTCTGCATTTATCAAAGTCATCTATGTAATGCGTGCTTGCTTAGCACAAGCTGACGGTTTGGCCGAGTGGTCTAAGGCGTTGGATTTAGGCTCCAATCCGAAAGGGCGTGGGTTCAAATCCCACAGCCGTCACTCCCAATTGGTTATTATTATTTTTTCAAGTTCTTCTCGTGGTGTCACGTGAAATCTCTTCCTGGTATAAAACAAACCATTTGTAGTCCATCCCATTTATATGGTGACTTTGCGACTCAAATCCCAGCAGCTATGGCGATCTTTAAACCTTTGTTTGTGCTGTCGATCCTTACGCTGCTAGTCGCAGGTTCTCTCTTTTTTAGTTTTCCAATTATCTTACTCGATTTTGCTTCATGTTCTTCCCAGACACCACGGCAAAGATCTGGTTTTTCGATCACTTTGAAAGAACAAACAATTACCGAGAGGAGCGGCCGGTGAGTATCGAAAACCACGCGATCTCTGTTGATAAAGCTTCGATCCAGAACCGGAAGCTAGCAGGGACGGACCAGTTAAGAGACTGTAAGTAGCAAACACTCACTTTTGAGTTGGCTAGAGATTTTCTCCGCTTGCTGTAGTTTGCTCTATCCGGCCAAAATGTATACCTACAGGAGCATACGTCGAGTGCATCAATGGAGGGCGACTTGGATGCAAGTGTACCTGGATTTCACGCTGCGTCCCCGCTGCTTCCGAGTGCTACTTCCACACCAGTAAGAAAAACTTCACCTCCTGCGGGTTCTAACCACGAGAAGAACAAAGCTCTCTTGCTGATAACTCTTTAGTTTGGATGGAGCTTGTTGGAGAACTTGACATCGGGTCCATATTTCTTGAGCAGCGTGTTGTAAGTTTTGAGCTGGCTAGCCTCGTATTCTTGAGTCTTGGGATCTGCCATTAGCGTCAGGGAGAACGATATACCTCGCAGTGATATGAACTGGATGATGTAGTATGGCACTCCCAAAACTTTGTCTTGCTTAAACGACGCCGTCGCAACTCTCCTGACGTACATGGTCATTTCTTGCTTGCCATCGTCGTGTACCAGGCAAGCGTCCCAGGCGTCCTCTTCGGCGTCGCTGTAGCGAAACATCTCCATCGGGGTCCTCGTTTTCCACTGCCCAGTGTGTGTATTAATGTAAAGGTGGACCTACAATCACGAAAAAAAGAGAGCTTTAGAAAACAACATCGTTGATCCCCAAGAAAAAGAGAATCAAAGGATCGGCCTCAGTAAAGGACTTTGTTAGCTCCATCGCTAGAGCTAAATTATCAGGATAGATCATCAAGAGAGATCTTTTTTGTCGTCATGGGCAGATTCTAGTGGGCCAAAATCAAATAGCGACAGCCATACCTTTCCGAGTTCTCTCGCTTCCTCGAGAAAATCCTGGACGCTGACCTCCGCGCCGGCATTTACCCTAGCGCTCATCGAAATCGCGGCATTCACCGCCGGAATCGTCCGACGCGAGAGCGCAAGACATTCAGCACGCCGATGGAGCAGCGCCGCTGATCCTGGCCTCGCGCAAGACGGAAATCCCTGGCGCGGCGCCGCAATGGAAGAAGGAAGCGCCCAGCTGCTCAATGCCGCCATCGCCACTGTTTAAATAACAAAGCCCTAACGGAATGTTCTCTGTTTACTGCTTCCTCCGCTTACCTAACAGAGGATTTGAGAATATACTACTAAACGAGGAGAATCTTGGGAATTGTGTAACGTATTTTTACCTCGTGTGATCCAGCCTGGCTGGCCTTCAAAGGAGCGAGGCTTATAGTAAATCTTTTATTCCAATCCATTGTCCTTTCGGCTTCTCTATAGTGGACACACTCACACACAAAGTTCTTCTCTGGAAGAGAGCTATGGCGGTTTTCGGCCAAACTAGGTAGAAAGAAAATGCGGCTTCTTCTCGAGGTAATCTAATCCGCTAGAGTGTTGGCGCGGCACCTATCGATTCTTGAGTGTCTCTCACGCCTGACATCGCTGGAATGAGCGCCATTCAGTGCTGATCTCGAGCGCATTGTGGTGGAACAGGGTATGGCTGCCGCGATCATCATGTAGTGCCTCCGATTTCCAGTGATTTCTCTCGGATTCTCGACGGCCAGGGGCTGCTAGGACGATATTTCGAGAGATTTCCGGGGCTGAATGGCCACGCTACAGGATCTGGGCGTGGCGGCGGCCATCAACATCATCTCGGCCTTTATCTTCCTCCTCGTCTTCGCGTTCCTCAAGCTCCAGCCGGCCAACGCCAGGGTTTACTATCCCAAATGGTACCTCAAGGGAGTCCGCCAGGGCAGCTCCAGGGGCGACGAGCGAGGATCTTTGCTCCGGTTCGTGAACTTGAACTACAAATCTTATCTACATTTCTTGGATTGGATGAGGGACGCGCTGCGAATGCCGGAAGGGGAGCTCATCGCTCACGCTGGGCTTGATTCCGTTGTCTACCTCAGGATATACCTTCTCGGGTAAAGTTTTCTTCTTTTTTTTTGTTTACAATGTGTGGCATTCTTTGGCTGTGTTCTCACGCAACTTTGTTCTCATTTATTCGTTTTGTGTGCCGTTCCTTTACAGGCTTAAGGTCTTCGTCCCTTTGATGTTACTCGGGTTTTTGGTGCTGGTCCCTGTGAACGTGACGGACTCAAACATCCAAACTGGCAAAATTTTCGGTACCGACATCGATAAAATCTCACTCACCAACATCAGGGAGAAATCCCCAAGGTTTGACATTGTGAAATGTTTCTCTTTCCATGTGTGAGGTTTGAAACGTTCTTTTTTTGTTTTCTCAAGGCTGTGGGCGCACGTTGTTATGACATATGTATTTACGGCATGGACGTGTTTTATGCTCTTCACGGAGTATAAGACGGTGGCACGTATGCGTTTCCAATTCCTTGCCGCCGAGGCCCGCCGCCCTGACCAATTCACTGTCAGTAATGTTCGCTGTTTTGAGATTCCAGGTCTGACTCTACCGTTGTTTGTAGGTACTTGTTCGGCAAGTGCCTTTGGATCCGGACGAACCCATTAGCACGCATATCGATCATTTCTTCCGCGTGAATCATCCTGACTACTATTTGTGCAATCAGGTGATCAAATGAAACTCTCCTGCCTTGGTTTTGAAATGCTGACTGTATTGAGTTTTTAAAGGTTATCTATAATGCAAACAAGCTAGCAAAGCTAGTCAAGAAGAGAGAGGGGCTGCAAAACTGGCTGGACTATTACCAGCTACAGTTCCAAAGAAAAAACACGGAGCGGCCTATGACCAAGGTATGGTCACTGTTTGATATTGAGTTCTGTTTAAAATAACTTGGTGTAATACAGACTGGCTTATGGGGTCTGTGGGGACAGAAAGTTGATGCAATCCAATACTATACCGACGGTATAAATCAGATCTCGAAGGAGGTAGCTCTTTTACTTGTTATTTACGAATACTTTGAGGTGATTATTATTCTTTGCAGGCTACAGTAGAGCGTGAACGTGTTCTCAACGACGACAGTTCAAAGCTTCCTGTAGCTTTTGTATCTTTCAGGTCAAGATGGGGAGCGGCAGTCTGCGCACAGACACAGCAAACCAGGGATCCCACAGTATGGCTGACGGAGTGGGCTCCTGAGCCTCGAGACGTATACTGGCGAAATCTTTCGGTTCCGTATCTACAGCTCACCATGAGAAAGCTGTTCATAACCGGAGCGGTTTTCCTGCTCATCTTTTTCTACATTATTCCCGTGACATTTGTGCAGTCGTTGGCCAACCTGGAAGGTATTGAGAAGAAGCTAACGTTCCTGAGGCCAATCATTGAAGCGTAAGTTCTTGAATCTCATCCGTGGTTTTCGGGAAAAAGACGCTGATCCGTGATTTCCAGGAAGTTCATCAAGTCGTTCCTCCAAGGTTTCCTTCCCGGTCTGGCACTCAAGCTGTTTCTACACTTCCTTCCAAAGCTTTTGATGTTTATGTCCAAGATAGAAGGCCATCTGGCTTTGTCGCAACTCGAAGTATCAACATCAGCAAAGTACTACTACTTTATGGTCGTCAACGTCTTCTTTGCCAGTGTGATCGCTGGAGCAGCGTTTGAGCAACTTAAAACCTTCTTCCAGCAATCTCCAAGCCAGTAAGTCTCTACCAGCGGGTGGCTCGTGACTGACCAGAAGTTTGACAACAGGATTCCTGTGATATTAGCTGGGAGTATCCCACAAAAAGCAACATTCTTCATCACATATATCATGGTTGACGGCTGGGCCAGCATTGCAGCAGACATCATGCGTATAAAACCGCTGATCGTTTATCACTTGAAGAACATGTTCCTGGTTAAAACTGACAAAGACCGAGAGAATGCAATGAGTCCAGGGAGTGCAGGCTTTGACACTGTCTTCCCTCAGCTAGAACTCTATTTCTTACTTGGAACCGTCTATTCTATTATCACACCATTCATTCTCCCATTTATAATCGTGTACTTGGCATTCGCGTACGTGGTCTATCGACATCAGGTACATTTTCTTTTACAGATAGTGGTACAAACGTTCTAACGCTTTCTCGCCTTTTTCTTTCTTTGTTCTTTATATTTGTAGGTGATCAACGTGTACGACCCCGAGTACGAGAGTGCAGCAGCCTTCTGGCCGCATATCCACAACCGGATCATCGTCTCACTTCTCGTCGAGCAAATTACACTGTTTGGAGTTTTCGCCGGGAAGAGAGCCGCCGCCTCCACTCCTCTACTTATCGGTCTCCCGATCATGACGATAGTTTTCCACTACTACTGCAAGAATCGCTTCGAGCCGGCGTTCCGAAAGTATCCACTAGAAGTAAGTGAAAGTTGTTTTGCTCTTCCGCGTATCTAGCAAATCTCATTGTTTCTTTTCTTGCTTCGCAGGAGGCAATGTCGAAGGACATTGTCGACAGAGCTACACATCCAAACTGGAACATCAAGACATATCTCCAAAACTCATATATGCATCCGGTGTTTAAGGACAGTGAGGAGGAAATGGATGAGGAGGGATTTGACGCCGAGAGGTCAACGCTGGTTCCCACGAAGAAGAGCTCGCGCTCCAACACCCCAGCTCCCAGCGCCAATGGAGAAGAATCACCGTTTCACGGTTAAATGTATTTCATCCCTTTGATTAAGGTGTAATTGTAAACACTGTGGACAAGAAGTTTTCTCTCTGAAGGATTTGCATATTGTTGATTGTACCAAGTTAAAAGAGTTGATTGTCAATGAATTGTACAATGGAAGCAAGGTTTCAAGGTGGACAGTGGAGGGCTGCTGCAAGCTTGAGGGGCTTTAGCATCTGTAACTCAAACTCATGTTTGCCTCTCATCCAGGAGCTCCATCTTTTACATTCTCTGTCTTTACCAAGGAAAGCTTTTGAGGTGTGGTAGGGGATTGAGAATGTGGAAGATAGCTTTTACTTATTCACTAAGAGGTAATCTTCTTTGCTTTGCATGTTTTGATTTAAATGTGGTTGTGAAAGGCAAATTTTTCTGTATGTTTGGAGATAAATAATATTTTTATTTAGATTTTGCATTGTTTAAATCTCTTTTGTTTCTATTTCTTTCAATTCAATCTTTTGTAACAATCTTTTCCTTCTCTTACTCTAGAATAGCAATTGGTGCATTTGTTTAATGCTATATGATTGCAATTGAATAATCAAACTTAGTTAATGATGGTATTCATGACACGTGGTGTAACTTCTTCTGTTTTTACTATTAATTCTTACATCCAATTAGATTTTGAGTTTTACAATGTTCTTTCTTTAAGTGTTACTTATTTAAAAATTATAAAAAATAAAATTTAGTGGAAATCCCTTTCTTCTTTCTTTATTTCAAAGCACAAAGCATATAAAAATGGCATACTACTAGCCACTAACTTCAAATATAATAACCTCATAACAATGTGAAGAAAAATTCAAGAATTAATAGGATTTCTATCAATTTTTTTACTCATCATTTTCAATTATGATAACCTCATAATAGTGTGGAAAGAGTTTGAAAAAACAATGGGAACCTCATTGACTCCTTCACCAAAGGATTTATTCTAACTACTTTTCCTACCAAATCCTCACATATAGATTGAATTGTCTTTTTAGACATTTTAAAGTGCACATTTAAATATACTAATAACTTATAAGTTTTTAAATTTAGACATACCCCAACTCAATAAGCCTAAGGATATTTAACCTCAAATATCCCAATACCCTTAATTGATTAAAAACGAATGTGCACTCTTATTCATGTGCCCTTTCCTTTATATTTAAAATTTTATTAATTAATTCTTAAAGTTATTCTCTTTAGTTTCTTATGTGATTATGATGATGCCTTTCACCAATTGTATTGTTTCTGTCAAAATCCATTTAAGTTAGTTATGCAATTTAATATTTGCTTTTGAAGCCTTTTTACTTTTTGTGGAGTTGAATATGTCAATATAGAGAGTTAATCTTTAGGACAAGCTTAAAAACTTATTAAATATGGAATAGTGTTAGATCATAAATTGGGACATTGAAATAACATCATGGTGTTTATGACATTTTCTAGATTTTATATATATGTCATACTACCAAATTTAGACATTTACCATAAATAACACTTAGAACCAAAATGGGACTAACAAATCCCAAGAGCCGAGATTGATC